CATTTAAAATTAATCTTTCTTCGATGAAAAATATAAGTAAATTAATCTTTAGGAACATGCCATTTTTTTCATGCAGTTTAAAAAAAAAATTAAATTTGCTCATAATCATGCATCATCATTCAAGCTTACTTTTCCTGTCCTTTAATAAATCATCTATATTATTAATATTAACTAATAAAATTATTAGAAAAAAGAAGGAAAATTTTACAACTTTTATTCTGTTTCATTCATTTAAGATTTTACTAATTGACGATTTGCTGATACTCTGTATCAGCTCTGCATTATAGAAGCTGCTGGTGTGTTTCTCATTTGCTTCATCAGTGGCCTCATCTATAAATTCGTCTGCTCTGCTCGATATATCTTGCTTTTCCGAGGGGGCCATCAGCCATCAGAGATAGTAATTAAATTCAGGAAGCACCGCACCGGACAGCGGGCAAATAAATATTGGAGGCCGAAGCACTAGGCCAAATTACGGGTTGCGGGTGATTTAGAGCAGCTTCATTAGCAAGCCCAAGTGCCCTCCGTCACGCACGCGCGGCCCTCGATTGCCATTGTTTTTTGCATGCGATTGTCGCCGTTTTGCGCCGCGAGTAATTACAGTAATTGCGCGGCACGTGCTCAACACGCCGTTTGGCGCTAAAAAATGCTTTTTGCTGCACGTTCGCCAAAGCAAGAGAGTGGCAGCGGAGGTGCTTTGGTCCCAAAAGACGCCTTTTTATATTCGAGAGCACCAACAATCAAGAGGGTGAGTATTTTCCTTTTTCAGAGGTAAAAAGTAGGTGTTCAGATTAAATTGCAATTTGTTAAAAATTAGGTTTTAATTAAACTTCATTCCGCAGTAAAAAGTATAACAATGGGGAGAAATTGGTGTTTTACTAATGAAAATTTTGTCTTCTAACGAAATACGATTTTGCTTTCTAAATTCACTGTGGAAATGTTTAGAATTTTTGTCAGGTAGGCGCAGTGATTTTCTTTGTGATAGATCAAAAATATTTGCAACTAAATATCATCAAATTTTAAATATTGATTTATAATGAAATAAGAAGGATGGATTGTTAGAATTAAATCAATCTAATTAAATTAATGGTTGAAATTAAAAAAAGTAGTAGATTTTCTTCAATCTTAAACTCGTTTTATATTTCTTTGTTAATTGAAGTTGCCAATTATATCATTCAATTCACTTATCGAAGTTAATCATATTTTTGTAGAAAGGTTTTATGGTCGAGAGTTCGCTTCATGATGTAGGATTTATCCCATTAGTGAGGATTTTCAAAGTCATTTCCGATTTCAGGGAAAAAAATTGAAACATTTGCAACTTAAAAGGAAACCATCAAGGAAAGCTTGAATTCAAACATCTTGAATAATTCTGTTTATTATTTCTTTATTTTCCAAATAAATTTTTAGAGCAATTAAAAAATATTATTACATAAAAATATTATTAGTATTTCATTTTATATGGGATTGCTTTTGGAATCTATTATCTCAATGAAACTCTGCCTCTGGCTCTCTCGCATATACAGTTTCAATCAGCTAAAATTTAGGACCATTGGTCGCAGCGTTTGCAGCTGGGCCACGCTTGGTTAAATGGAAAGCTGCAGGTTTTGGTGCTCAACAAACGCGATACGCGCACATTCACTTACCGTCGAATGAACGAGGAAGGCATTGTGCGTATGTGTGTTTGACTTTGGCTCTCTCTCCGGCGAGGCTTTTCCAACCCACTCAAATGCGTACATACGTATTTGGAAGTTGAAGTTTATTGTGTGCTTGGATATGTACATATGTGCCCGAGATAAACGAACATGGAGCTATCGCCGCATTCACTGGTCTTAAAAGCCGTTTTGATAATGACATTTCGGCTATGGGCGAACCTATAATCTATCTAGAGAGCAGCTACAAATCAATTACTCGGCTTGTTGACAAGTAGAGATAATTTCAATTTCCGCGTTTCTCTGCAGTTGCCGCAATAATATTGCTCAATTTCAGAGAGAAAGATAGGGTATAATGTCGTCTGACGTAAAAAAAATTTAAAAGCCGCTCGCTTTGTCCTATTATGCAAATTCCCAGAAATATTTGCGTGGCCAAAGTTGCTTTTTATTTAAACTACCACGAAATTTCATCAAGCGCCACTTGCCTGTTCTCCAAAAAAACACGGCTTACAAATTAATTGGGCGCCTCTTTTGTGCAAAAACAAATTAATCGCCTTTTGCAGACTCAAAGTAAACGATTGAAAAAATTTAATTAAACAAACGTGAGCATGTTCAAAGGACAAGTCTTTTTTTTCGTTCATTACCATGATGGATACATTTTTTCAGTTGAAAATTATTGTGCCCCGTGGAATGGAAACGAGCCCGGCGCACGTGCCTTGATTGAATGATGCCGACTCAATTTTCATTCCGGCAGTAAGTAGGCAGGTAGTTTGCTCGTCCTCGTCGTCGGAGAAAATTGTTTTCGAAACTTTTCTCCTGCTTGCAACCGACGGCGGCTTTCGCACGGAATAAGCAAAAGAGCGAGTGAGGGCAATTTGGAAACTTTCGGTCCGCATTTTGCACACAACTAACGCGCCCAATGCAAAATAACAGCAGCAGAACGACGACGAAAGTGATTTCCCTCGCAGACGTAACGCCTTTTGCTCCGAGCCATCGCTTTTTTCTGCAGATTGAATTCGCCTTGCATGCGCAAAACGCAGGAGCCGCCGTCGTTTATACAAACTCGGTAAAATGTTGCTTTCTCAGAGAAAATATAAGTTTTTCTCTTTTCAGTTGCACATGGCAAAAAATATGAAATGGAAATGCTTCTTTTTTTTAAAAAAAAAATAACGTGCTTTATTTATTCAGAGAACATAGAATGGTAGCTAAATTTATATAAAATTAACAGTGCACTCTGCTATATTTGTATAAAAAAAATTAATTGTGCCAACTCACAATTTAATTATTGATTCTTATCAGAGCACTGGACAAGTGGTGTTTGAAAATCGTAATTCTCATTTCAATACACTTTAATTTCCTCTTTGAACTGATGTTTAGAGTAGATAAAATTTAATGTTAAAATTAATTTTAATTTTCCTTTTCAACAGACCAAAACAGGACACAGAATTAAAGGTATTTAATTAAATTAATTTCCAAATGTTTTATTTAACTACAACATTAAAAATTGGCCCAAAAACACCATTTTTTATGCTTGACAATGAATTTCAGAAGTATTATTTTGTTCAAACCGGTTGAAACAATTTGTATTTTTTTTTTTTAATAAACCACAAGTTTGTTTGCTGTCAATCTCTTCCAGATTATCTTTATTCTCTCCCTCCGTTTTTCCGCTCCAATAAGGGCCTCATTAATATCAAAAACCTCTCAGTCATTCTCTGATTGCAATTTTTTCGGTTTTACAGAGGCTCCTGTTTTTTTTTATTTTCAAATATATATTTCCCGCTACACATTTACTGTCCTTGTCGAGAAGAAAACATTTGCATTATTTGCCTTTTTCAATAATAATGATTTGTGTTGCGTCTGCTCTCATTATTTCTTCTTCCGACAAAGTCAAGAGAATTTTCTCCTCCTTTTTGTGCGAAATTTATAAGAGGATTTCGTTGTCGGCTTCATCCTACTCAAGGACACATACATAAATAAATTCGCAAATTTCCCTCTAGAGCAAAAACAAATTTGCTGATTTGCAGACACATAAGTTAATTAAGTCGCCGGCCTTTGTGACGAGAGCCGGCGCATATATATTTTTTTCAAACAATAATTCATCGCAGTCGTCTCTTGATAATCCCATAAGCTGCTATTATATTTATTACGTCATATTCATGAATTCAAATTTTTCCTCGCGAGAAAGAGAAAGGTTCATATAATAATGGCATAGTGTATATTTCGTCCCACCCGCGTTGCTCCCATGAGAAATCTGGTTAAAAATTGTAGCCGGTCTGCGTTCTTTGTGCCCGTTTTCCGTGGCGCACGCGGCTGAAAGGGAGAAATAAAAAAAATATGTATAACGTTGTACATAAGGAGATCTTCCAACTTCCTCGTCGTTTCTTTCTTCCTTTCTTTTCTGTTCGGTCGCGTTTTGTTTAAGCCAACAGACGCGGATGCTTACCGGATCATTTCTTCCTGCTTTTTCTGTTCCTCTTTCCATTATGATTTTCGCTTGAGGGAGTCGAATTATATCAGATGATGTGTAATGTGCTCTTAATTGAGACTGCGCTGCTCTCTCGTCAAAGCCGTACTTAATTAATTCGCGAAACTCCCGCGGCCTGACAGACAAACATGAATTACTACTGCTCACTCAATCTCGGCCTGCCTGTCTGCGCGCATATTGTGCTTTTGTACGGATTACATTGTGTGCCTTGCGGTTTTTGCTGCCGCCTAATCTCGAATCAGGAGCCTAAATATGGTATCCATTTGTACAAGATTTTTCTGCAATATGGCAGAACAGCATTTCCAGAAACGACTAGAATGATGAAAAATTTTTTTTACAGAAATATTTAAGACTCAGGTACTTAAAAAGGTCTCAGGTAATTTCGTATTTTTGCAAAAAAGTTTAATTTTTTTAAAGTTATTGGAACTTTAATTTAAATTCAATCAATTTTTGCAACAAGAATGTAATGAAATTTGTACAAATTGTAATAAGTATTTTGGAGTGAATTTAAAAAGGCCTTTATTTCAAGTCGCGTTTGATAAGCCTGATAAAAAAAATGCCTGAATTACAATCTATCAAATTTTGTACAGAATTTCAATGTTAATAAAAGTTGCAAAATGGTGCAAATTCATCTACACTCAATAAACCCTGAAATTAAATATGGTTGCTTGATAATTAATCATAAAAAATGGTAACTTTTTTATCAATTCATGAAGCTAAACGACACAGAAAAACTTTTGTTGCAATACAGTTTAATTGAGTTTTTTACTGACGCCAATGGTCAGGAAATTAAAAATGAACGGCACGAGATGAAGTACAGAGATATGGATATATAAATTAAAGTTTGCATTATACAGTTGTTCACATGATGGTCGACATTTTGTGGTTATGGACCGTCGCGGTAATACTCACGCACAGGTCCGTCTTTGGGAAGGAGGAAAAGTCTTGTACAAGAAAATTAGTTGGGAATTGTTCTTTTTATAATTCTGTGAAACAGGTGAGAAAGTTTTAGGTAAACAAAAGCTTTTCAAAATAATTATATATAACAAAATTAGAGTCTTTTGGAAAGTGCCCTTTCTTCAGGTACAAATTTAACTTTTTGATATTTAATTCAATTTACAAATTACTTTAATTGTGTACTGCAGACTTCATCAATATATTTGAATGTAAGTTAATTAATTCAGTTAATTTTGCTTGGAATTTTTGACACCTCCGTTCACCAGCTCGAGCAAAACAATTTTTATTGTCAAGAGGAAATGTAGATGGCTATAAAATTCAGGGAAATGGTCAAATATATTACAAAGGTCAAACCAAGGTCAGCTCATTTAAAATATTTATACATTGATGTAAATCATATCATTAATAAATAGGCAAATTTTTCTGATGCAGCTCAAAATTGCTTGCTCAGAAAAATGCAACTTCTTGCATTAGAATATTTTGACAAAGAGGTGAACAATCTGGATGAGTTTAAAAAAATATTTTGGAATAATACTTATTGTAAAATAAGTTTTGCTGAAAAATTCAGTAGTAGTTAACACCATCATTATATAGATACCGGAGTTGGAAATTTTCTAGCGCTAAGCAACAATTTCACCGACGTAATGAGCGAAAAGGTTTTGAAGCAAGATGATCATTGTATTAGTATAAATGTATAAAATTTGGAATGTTTTTGTAAACATTGAGGATTTTAAACAGATTACTGGACAAGTGGAACGGTGGCCAAATCACAAAACAGAGTGACTTGGTGTTCTTCAGGGACGACATGTAACTACAATTCAACAATGGTAATGAGCAAGACCAGAGCCAATAAATGGTGTATTGCGTTGAATAAGAAAGAAAAGAAGCTTGTCCACATTGCCTGTTCAAAGAAATTGCGATTTTTCTGCGAAGTATTCAACTATAGGAATTTTGAGTTCTCTTATTAAAAAATAAATTTAGTATCCTTGCAGCAAAGCCCTGTGCCCAAAAAATAAATATTGCAAAATAGATGTAATTTTACTGTGGTGATAAAAGACCAAAATTAAATTTTCTTTTCAAAGGAGACTCTTTTTAGAAAATCTGGAAACAACAAACTGTGGATTTTTGATGGTATGATTATTGCAAATTATTACATTAAAAAATCTAAAACCTCAATTTTAGGTTCACAAAGTTTTGGTACGTTTTTAAGATTGCCTTCAACGACGGAAGAAGAAGGATATGTCGTTATTCTTAAAAGTAGCCGTTTGGTATAAAATTTTTTTTCTCACATTCATAAGCATATTTATATGATATCGAAAAGGTAACTTGGGATGAAAATTGGTTGACTTGCTGCTCACTAGGAATGCAACCAGTGTCTTATGGTCCCATTAATGAATATGGATTAGATAATATCGACTTTTGTATGATTGCTCAGAAGCTTTTATTTCATCCACTAGCCATATAAATTTTAAAGCTGCAGAGCTCGGAGAATATTGGACCGGCGGCACTCGTCAAGGATGCAATGGACAGTTTTCCTGGTGCTTGTCCGACCAAAAAGAATGGCTGTACAAAGCCCCGATAATCAACTTGAACGACAATGGTGCCTGCGTTGCGGTGGCGAGAACTTATTACCCTCGAGATTTCTTAATGGAAGGGAAACAAATTTTTAAAGGCTTGAATTTAATAGTCATGCCTTGCAAAAGTAAAGCAAGGCTTGCCTGTATCTATAAGGAAAACCTAAATGCAGAAATCAGACTTAATTTCGGATACACACAAGTGATATTGGTTGACCTTTAATATTTCTTTGAAAGAATTAAAAAATGAAACATTCTCAGAAATCGGCAGATAGTTCTTCAACATTATCTCCTAAAAATGGAACCAAGAATCTGAAAAGACCAGACTTTTGGTACATTGGAAACTACAATGATATCGATCTCAAATCAAGGCAAAATGTTTGGAAAAAGATTTAATTATCATTGAATAATTTATACTTATCAATGTTTAAAATTATTGAAATATTTCCAGGTTATGAAGTACGTCTTGCTTATAAGCATGGAATATCCAATGGAATACGTGCTCTTTCGTAAGTGACGTTTTATTTCACTCCCAATTAATTTTTATACTTTTGTATTAATCAAATCAGAACCATACAAGCTCGGCCAATGGACTCAAATGTGTGGTTCATATATGCTTTTTCCGTCATTGCCAGTGGTAAACGAATTTGCATTTTGATTCATTCAAACGTGAAAAGATTCATTAGAAATCTTGGAGAGATGCACATGATGTTTGTTTGTCATTTGGAGCAACCTTGCTTTCAATAGAAACCGCTGACAAGCAAAGTTGTGTTAGTGATGCAATGCTTAAAGGTATGTTTGAATAACTTCAGTTTGAGAGAAATTTTATGTACATTTTATTTTGTAATTATTGTGAAAATTTTTCCCAAAGTTCAAAACAATGCAACAAAATATTGGACTTCTGGCGTTGAATTTAATGGTGTGCGCCAGTGGTGCTCAACAAAGCCAGATTACGTGATGAGGCCCGAATTGACCATGAAACTTGAAAACGCACGTGAAGTGCAAAATGCTTGTTTCTACGTGCAGGTTAATAATTACAACTTTGCCGAAATCGGTGCCGCAAATTGCGACGACAAATATCACTATATCTGCGAAGTAATGATTTTTTAATGCTGTAAAAAATATCCGTCTTTTAAATTTGGTTATCATTTTTTTTTTTTTTTAAATTAGATTTATCCTAAAACTGTCAATGCAAACGGCACGCGAGATAGCTTAGCACTTATAGAAGAGTGCAAAGTGATTAACGGATTAAAAAAGCGTAAGTTATTGCTTTAGTGCATCTCATCTCTTAACATCTCACATACGGAGGGTTATTCAAATGTCTAGCCTTGTCGAGATTAAATTTTTAACTCTGAAGCACCTTAAGTTTGATTTTGATTGAGGATCGGAATTTTTAGGTGATCTGGAAAAGATGTTAAATATTGACTTTTCCAAATATGCATATGCGATGAAGGTAATAAAAGTTTAAGCTTGATATTTTTTAATTTTTTATCAATGCACTCATATGAACCAATACAATCTTCAAAGTGTTTCATCCATTGCCTCGGTCAAAGATTGGGAATTGTATTTAATTTGTTAATTATCCCATCAGTCTAAACTTACGCGCATATCTCTATTTAGATAAACGGGCCGTTCAGTATTAATATTGAACTGATACAAAAATATTTATCATCTGGAGATTACTTAGTGTAAGGAAAATTAATCAATTTTCGTAAATCTTTTATCACTAGTTAAATAAGAATCGATAAAATATTGGAACAATCGGAAAGGAACGATTCAGTCAAAACCTTTCAAGATACAATAAAGGAAATTCTTGGAGAGGAAAAATTTGAAACATTTCTTGAGTATGCAATGTACGAAGAGGACGATAAGCAGAAAATATCTGAACTGGAATTCAGAAACTCTCTGAAAGCAATGATTGCTAAGTGCAGCAAGGATGGTTCGAAATAATAATTTTTTCAATCTCGCATTTTGCTAAACTTTTTTCAACTAATCCATAATTTTTTAATAGAAAATGTTTTAAAGGCAAAAGATGAGTGCTCTTTTGCCCATCTTGCTACCCTGTGTGTTTCGGAAGGTTCGGAATTGACGAAAAATTTCTGGGAAAAGATTTCGATTTCGTCCTTAAATGAAAGCGCAGTAAGCAATCAAAGTCAATAATATTTCATTTTGGTAATAATATTTTTAACAGGCCATGCCTTTGCCTTTAGTTATGAGTACTGATAAAAAGTATGCAACCTCCCACTGCTCTCTCAAGATACTCGCAGAATCAACAATAAAAGGGGAAAATTGTTTTTTATTGAGTTATGCTGGTTCCATTAATTTTCCTAGGCTAATTTAATAATAAATTCAGATGAAAAGCTGAACTTGAGTGATGGAACTAGATTGGCATTCATGAAATTGAATAAAAGGTATGTGTTGGCGGCTTTTTGCTTACATCTTTACCAGGAGAATCTGGTTGAGAATCGCGGGTTGCTTATGGTATAGATAAACGTGAACAAGGAATTTATTTAGAAACTAGAAAGTCAGTTTTGCATCTCTTGAATCTCATCTGAGAGGTTTTGGTCAATTTGTTTCTTTTCCTCAGGTTACTCCTTGTTGACAAAATAATATCATAATTATCTTCATTATCTGATGGTTCAATTATTATATCATTAATTTGAGTTCACAGTACAAATCTTTGGCTGGAAAACAACTGTGGACGAATACATTTTGGTCACCGACCCTACGCTAGCAACATGCTTGACTTGCAGACCCTCTTTGAAACCTTTCAAGGTAAATAAGGAAACGAAACCAACCTAAAATTATGCAAATTTTTAATTCCTTGCAAATTTGACGTATCAAGGCTCTGAAATCGATATTCTATGGGAAGAGACGTTTGTGGACAAGAACGGAACTACTCGCTGGTGCAAGTCACCTGATTATCCTGAAGTGCCTCTAAAAATCGAAGGGGACTCAAGTATGCCGCATTTAGTGATTTCAAAAGCCAAGCCTGAGCCGAATCTGCACGCGATCACCCCGGCTGACTTTTTGTTGGAATATGAACAAATAAATTACGCAGATATCTGTGTCCAAGATGTCAAAGAGATCCAATCGTTTTGTAATGTGGAGTAAACAGAAGAAAAAAAATTATCCATATATTAATGCAATTCACGTATATCTTATTGAATTATTGATCTAAAATTGTTCAAAGCAAAATATATTAAAAATTTGATTATATTTTCTGATTTTCTCTAAAACTCTTTATTACTTCAAATTATGTAAAAAAAATCCCTTTTTAATCAATTATTAGAATTTTTAATGAGCAGTTTTTTGTTAATTAATGATATGAAGGCCGTATCCATTTCACTAAATGGGACACAAACATGAAACCGGGGCAGCCCTACTTTGCTCATCGCGATCAACTGACTGCAAACGGAAACTTGTCGTATCACATCCTCAGAGGGGTGTGCGAATTGTGACTGGGGAACGAGAGAGAATCGTCATCATCAAGCTAGTTGCTCGTCAGCGAGAGCAAGAAACGGTGAGCAGGTTTTCGTTGCATGGCCTCCTCGCAGTTGAGAAGGAACAGATAGTGTAATTTCCCTCGAGGAGAAATTAATAATTTTGGTGAGCGCTGCGGCTCCAGTGAGGGAGAAAACGTTCGCCCGCTCTCTCGTCTGCACCTCTCTGCTCCGTGCAGATTAGCGTCTGCTGCTGTGTATTGGCCTGCTCTTTATTAAAGGCGGGCGTAATGTATTGCTGGTAATTTATCACGGCATTACAAGGATCACGTAAATCAAGATTAAACACACACCGCAAGCAGGACGCTTATTTACACGACCGTAGGAGAGAGAGATGCGAAGTTGTGTGTGTTTTGCACCGGGGTGGTCTGACCGAGAAAGACCGAACGTCACGTCGTCTTCGGGCTTTCGTGTGTATTTCGCAGAGAGGACGAGCGCCGTTTTAAGAAGTTGGCGATAAATTATTATTATTGTCGGAACGTGTGAAGTAATTAAGCGTCGCCGCCGGCAGACGAGAAAGAAAGAACGGGCCAATTAGGGTTGCGGGTCTGATTTACAACCTCTTCTTTCGACTTGAATTTTGATAGCGTTTCGGGACTTGCTAGCTGCTGCTCCGCGACAGATTAATGTTGTCGTTAAAGGAAAAGTCTGATCAAGTTTCGCCAAACTTTTCTGCTTTTCTGGCAAGACACATTTGTTTCGCCCGAGCAACATTAAATGTAAAGAAAATCACTGCGTCAGATTATTTCAGATTTATTAACCGAGCCTTTTGTTAACTAGCTCATATTTAATGAATAATTTAAACCACTAATTTGCAATTCAAGCAGGGATTCAACAAGATAATTAATTATTTTTGTGTGTGTGTAAATCTGCCAAAGTTTGTCAAATGGAAATGAAACCCACTTATTCATTTACTAATTTAACAAATCCTAGAAAGGCTTCTGCTTGGGTAACTTAGGAAGCTAAAAGTCCACCAATTTCAATTAGTAAATTTCTCCCTCTTATATAATTTTTAATGAGCTATCATCTTTTAATAGTTTTAATTAATTTGTTTTTCAACTTTTTCATGAAGTAAAAACTTCAATTTTTTTCAGGAAATTCTTTTTTATGATTTTATATTTTCATCTCTATAAAATTTAAATAGTTTGTCTATTAAAAGCAAAGCACATGCAAACAGGGCAATAATTAGTTGAATATGTAATCCGAGAACTTCTTAATAGGACCCACGTGTAGCAATATCTCCTCATTAGTCAACAAGCAATTCCTCGGCTCTGGAGTCTGTGGTAACCTCAGGAGCCGAGCAGAGCTTTTTTTGCTAAGCTCCGCTCGGTATTACACAACTTTTTACGATGATAAGTTTCTTTTCGGCCGTATTAAATCATAAGTCAAAGCCGCGCGCTGCGAGGAAAGAAAAAAGTTGCAAAATTAGTTCAGTGCAGGCCGCCGTAAAAGAGAAGAAGATTAATTAACTTTTTACAAAGTAGTCGCCTCCTCCGTATAATCCGGCGCGCAAATATCTTGCCAAGCAGGCAGTTTGCTCCGAGGACTTGGAAATGACGAAAGCATTAACACGACTAGGTTGTGTGTGACACTCACCAGCCAGTGGCCGATGCAATAAACGAAACTAGCTGAAGGGCCGGAGAGGAAGCGGGGGCGAGCGAGCAAGTGTTTTATCGTCGCTGCTTTTTAATTTGGCAAATGGTGTTTTAAGAGAGAAACCGGCCGGCGCACAGCGGCGGCTCTTTATTTAATGTATGTTCGCACAAAGTAATGAAACTCATGCCTCATTCAAGGGAAAAGTGAGATAGGGTCAAGTGAAAGGCGCGAGGCAGCAACCGAAAACGGATGGAGAGAAATAAATAAAATCCATCTCTGGCAGAAAATAACAAGAAATGACGTCACACACCCGAAAATTCATCTTTCTCCTGCGGTGGCGGCGGTTTTGGCCAACGCAAGCAAAAAGCCGAGGAATGGGCGAAAATCTAATCAAAGTTTTAATGCGGGACTCGTTATTTCCATTAGAGTTCATCTTTCAGCGCCGAGAGAAACGCAGACAGAGAGAGAGGAAGATTGCTATCGTCAATTAATAATAACTGCCTTGGCAGCAGACCAACCGGCAAAATCTCTCTCTTTAATTGTTGTAACTTTATATAGGGTGTATGTATCCTCCGCTCTTTCTTTGATTCGCGGCCATTGTTCGTGTTAAGCGGCTTCAATCTTCTTCTTCTTCTTACCGAGCGGAATCATAGAGGCAAATTTTAATAAGCTTTCCCTTTTGAATATTTAGATTTTCGCCGTTATTGTGTGCTGTGCTTTGCTCTCCGCACAGGCGAGAGCATTCTTGCCTCAAAGCCACAACAATTTTATGGGTTTCTCTCGCTCTCAGTGTGCGCACAGAACTTCGCCCGCTCCATTTCCCAGAGCGAAATAATACGGCAGATCTGGAAAATTGCTTTTCTCGTGGGCGTGGCAATCGCGAACACGGCTTATCTGGTAAGCCAAAGCTTCTAATTATGCAATAGAATGTTAATTAATTCAATCTTTTTGGCAATCAAAACAGCCATCTTTCTATTTAACAAACTAGTAAGATATGAAGAAATTATTGGGTATAATTTTTTTTGTATAGAGTAAAATGAAAATGTGATAAAACTTTATTTTAATGTTAATTAAGTGCATTAAAATAGGCCATTTCATAATAATTCATTAAAATAAGATTTCCGCAAGAATAAAGTAAATTCTGCATTTGGAATCATTTACAAATATTTTGTGCAACACAAAATTAAAATGGAATATTTTCATTTTGCTTAATGTGTGCAGACAAAAATAACGCTAAAATAGCAACAGGGTGTAGATTAAAAAAATTTAACGATCAGCAGTAGAAACTTTTAAATGAAACCAGCAATTTTAGACACAAACATACTAATTCTTTTTGTTTCTCTCGATATTTCAGCTAGATTACTTTGATATCAATTGCAGGATGAGGAAGCCGGACTGAGGGTAAAAAATATGAAGTGGATAAATAATTCAGGAGCACTGCAATAAATAGACATTGTTTTGTTTTGTCTCGCAGCCCCTTCGCGGGCAGCTCACATCCATTGAAACCGGCCGAAGAGAGAAGTTGAAAAGCACTGGATAATGCTGGGAAGTGCTGTATACATTTTCGGACTGTTGCGAAAGAGAGAGATAGATTTCGTTTTCGCTCTCCGGCTAGCCAGCCAGCTCTTTCTGCCAAATGAATTATGCAGCAGCAGTTGTGAAAAAGAAAGAAAGCCGAGGAGGAAAGCGAAGCAAGGGTATAAATTACAAGCCAGCAATTCGCCAGGCCTGCGAGTGTTTCGCCTGAGAGGCCTCATTACCGCGCGCCAGCTCTTTTCAAGCAATTATTTTCCGCCATGAAAACGCAGATTCTTTTTTTTTCGCTTTTTCCGTTTTTCTTCACGGGGATTGATTCCAGCGCGAGCAAAAATTCCGTGTCGCGAAGATTATAGAAAAAGCTCATTGGATTGAGGAGAGAAAGTTCATGAATAATGCATCGGCACTTTGCTCTCTCTCGCGCTGACATTGGTTGCTATCGCAAAAAAAAAAACAAAGGCGAGGAGCACGCGAGAAATAAATTTCGGAAAATGAAGACGGCCGGGCAGGCGTTTCCTCTCTCGTGGTTTTGATAGCACATTGCGGATTAGTGACAGAATTGGGTTCACGGCACTGTTTGTAGAATTTATTACATGATATGAATTATAAGAACAAAAAAAGTGTGTAAAAAATATCTTAAAAATTAAAATAATTTAACTCTCAAGGGTTGAAATGCAAGAAACAGATTGACAATTATTCTCAAAAAATAAAAGTATCCGGACAACAAACCCGAGACACCCTTATTTAAAAAACAGGCAAATCTGCCGCACTATTCGCACTTTTTATTAGATAAATATTGGCAATAGTCAATGGCTAATTAGCTGTGGTTTGACGCACTGTTTTGCAATTCAACCTCTGAAAGTATTTCTTTTTAAATTATTTTCTTTTTGAATTAAGAATGTCAGGGGCGTATTCTTTTCTTGGATTTAAATCTTTAAAATGATGTTATAATTAAAATTAATTATTCTGTGGTTGAATTTCAATTCAGTGTTTTTGTTGCCACAATTTCTGTCTTATAAAAATATTTTATAAATTTCATTTCAATACAGAAAGAAGGCAACTCCATTTTTCCTCTTTCTCAAATCTTGAGAGTCAACGCAATTTGTAAAAAACATTTTTCTATTATTTTTCTTTCCAAGCACAGAACAGAGCATAATATACCAATTTATTTATTTTCAAGAGTCGACGTTTGACCGGAGGACTTTTCTCTCTCTCCGTCTTTCTTGTTCAACTTTTCATAAATTGAGATTTTCTATTCTATTATGAAGTCGCGGCCGAGTTGGCCTAGAAGAAATAACAACATCCTTTGACGCAGCATGAAGTTAGGGCAAAGCGTCGCCCAAAGGAGCCGGCGAGATTGGATGTATGCAAACCCGCGCTGCATACCATCTTTCTTATAATTCTTCGCCCCCAGCACGATGGAAAAAAATTTGCTCTCAATATTATGTTGGATCTTTTTATTTAATAATAAAGAAAAGCAGCGTTTTTTGTTCATCTTCTGAAGATGCGCTCCGGAGTTGAAAATCTTTCCCTCCAGTTTTATATATTTTTTTAGTCTTGCCCGTTTGCAGGCCGGATTTATTTTGTGCGGCGAACACGATTTTAATGCCTTCGCTTCTTGCCTCGGTCCGCCGAGAGTCAACAACTTCTTCCGAGGAGTTGCCTCTTTTCAAATATGCAAATGTGTGCCGGCAAGGGTGGTTTCCGCGGGCACGCCTCGGGACAGACGTCTGTGTGTGTCTCCACGGATTAGCGAGTGTCTCTCGACTCGAGGGGCTTGCTTTGCATGAGTGCATGAGCGGGCCGAGTGCAGTTTTCATTTATGCAAGACGGGGGCATTTGCAAATTCGTTCCCGTTTCAAGCCCAAGGATATATGAGACGTCGAGTATTTCTAATTCATTAGGCAGAACTCGAGTGGAACCGATGGACTTGAATTTTAATTACATTAAAATATTAAAATTAAAGTAGTATTCTTAAGATAAAATTTTAATAATATAGAACCCAATTAACACATATTTTGCAACCTAAAGTATATAAAAAAAAAACTAGGTTTATATAACAGCAAAAGTTTCAATTTTGATATTATTTTTATTTAACTTATTCTGAATGTACTTTCAAAAATTTATAATCTTAAAAAAAAATAAAAAAAAATAACTGCTTAGATTTCAGCCACGAATCTTCTGTTAAATTTTACTTCTTACATTATATAAAAAAAAATGAAAATTTTGATATTGTTTCTTTCAGTCTACATTCTAGATTTCTTATTAAAAATTCCTAATTTCTTGGAAGTAAATTTTTCTCTTGAAATTTTGCGACAAGATTATAAATTAATTCATGTATTTTTAAAATGAATCACGATTGATGGATTTAAGAATTCCCTAATTTTGCGTTTACATTTTACCATATTTAATTTACAATCAAAATAATTGGTAAAATTCAACACTCACCAAAGACGACGAGGGTCGCGAGGCAGAAGAACTGGAGCCTGATCATCATCGTGTTGTTGACGTTTGTGTGCCACGTGTTCGGAGCCCACTTGCTGGATCCCCGAACAGGTTGGAAAGGAAAGTCAAGCGGCCACTTGCCTGCTGAGCACAGCGGCCAAAAAGTCCATCAAATTGGGCAAGTCTTGCGCGAGGAACAAGGAATTCGTTCACAGCGAGCGGAGAAACATCGCCGAGCGAGCGGAAACACGTGCTTTGCTCGTCAGGCGGAGCCGAAAGGGTTGTGTTGTGCTCAGCTCGACGGTCGGCCGCGGAATGCGCTTCCTCGGCTCGAGTGGGGACGCCACCCCTGCGCTGCGCCGGAGCGAGACCAGCCCCGACGAGAGCCGAACCGTCGAGGACACTTCAGACTACCCTTTTTCTTAGCTCGAGAGCACCAAGTCAGCACTTCCGCTTTCGCCTGTAAAGCTTAGCCAGCGAAAATCGCTGTGGTTTTGTTTCAACTAGGCCCACCGGACGTTACAAATTTACTAAACAAGCTTTATAATGTACAAGTAACATTTAAATTTGTTTTATTTCATAAAAAAATTATATTTTTATTTTTCAATTAAATTAATTTCTTTTATATTGCTCATTTCATTTAAACGTATTTTATATTTCATTTTAATTGATTTAAATAATTTTTAAGTAAATATAACTATTTGGACATTCTTAGGTTTTAGTTTTTAAAATTATTGAAATTTTATTTAATTTTATAATAATTTATATCTGAAGCATTAATAAGAATTAAAGTAATATAAATTTCAATTTTTTTTCTCCTGATCATCCATCAAAAAAATTTATTAAATTCCATACAAATGTCTTTCAATGCTGCTTTCTTCGCCTCTTGTTATAAAATTTTATATTTCTAACTATATGTTCAATCACCATGAAATATATTTTCCTATTTATTCTGCTTTAATATCAGAAGGAATCCTGTATTTTGCAGCAATTGACATCATTCAAGGAACAATTTTAATTTATATTGTAAAAATCTAAAATATTTATACTTGAGGCATGAATCACTCAATATTAATTATTTCTTGTGAGATGAACATATTGTATATAAATGGAGAAGTACAGAAGACAGCGGAAATAAGGTAAGATTTAAAATCACATTTGGCTTCAATGTTCAATGCAAGATTTACTTCAACCAATAATTTTTTTAACTTTGTAGTTTTTATTATAACATTTTTGTAATTATTTAAAAATATTTTAGGGAAATCTAGAATGTTATGAAAAAAAATTGGATCCTGACGCACACACCAGATCCAGTTTCTCTTCCAAGAAGAGAAGCGCGAATATGTACAATCTAATTCCCATCAGCATTTTCTGGATCGCATTACAGGGTGCCAGATTAAATGAGGAAATACAAGATTGAATCGCCGCAGAACGGTGAAAATAATTTTGTTACTCCCGTCGGGCGCACGACTCGATAAGTAAATTATGCGAACGCGCTTCAAGCAGAAAAGCCAAGCAGAATTCCATAGTCAAATACTGGTGTAGAAGATTTGAATTTTACTACAAAAATCAGGATTAAAAAAACTGCAAGTAGGAAAATTAAAAAAAAAGTTCTTAAAAAAATATCACATTTATTTTATTAATTTTTGTTTGGCTGCATTGGGCTGTTTTGTATTTTAAAAGTCATTGGGTCATTGTATTACATGAATTGAATTTACACAATTAATTTTTCCTACTTTTATTGTTAGTAAATAATTTCTTCTATAAATTAAAATTTTAATAAAATAGCCAACTTTACGATGTAACATTTATATAAAATTATTTTATTCAATTTTAAATTAAGTGAGCAATGAATTAGAGCCTATTTAAGGGAGCTTTAATTAAAATTAATGCTTGGCAAAAAAAATTTAATTGGAAATATTTAGGCACTTCCACACTAACTTATTATTATTTTAATGTTCTGGAATTTGTCCTATAAAATTGTTAAAATCATATCCATAACATAATAAAAAGGGGGAAAACTCAATTTTTTTTTTATCAAACTTATTTGAATTTTTGAGAGCGTTGATGAAAATTATTTGAATCCAATTCATGAGAACTAGAGCGCTGGTTGAAACCAGAAAGCCTCAGGTTGGTTGCAGAAAATGAATGCGTCCAGCCAGACGGTACTGCAAACTAGGTTAGTAGTGGCTGTGTGGCTGCGAGAGACATGGCAAATGAAATTACGCATTCTGACAGACGCAGAGAGAGAATCGTTCCATTTATCCCTGTGGCAGAGTAGTCGGCTGCGGCAATCTGCGTTATCCGATCGGTTAAAATATGCGGATGGCTGGCGGGCCACTTGACTGTCAGAGGAAAACGATTTTTGCCCTGCATTTTCTGTATTTCCCCTCCGGGAGGGAATCGAGTTCAATATAAATGCGTATTGGCACAAGTGCACCAAATTTGCACAAGCAAGAGAGATTATCGACCTTGCCCGCAGCCCCTCGGAAAAAATTTCGCCTCGTGTGTACATGGAAACTCGATAAAGGAGCCGCCTGGCGATTTCGCATCTCCGACAGCCAACAACTGTCGACGTGCGAATCTAATATTTGCCCCCGCAAACTGCGCTATATACGAAATGGAAAAAAGAGATCAAGGTTGTTCCAAAATATAATAACGATAGTTACAAAAAATCAATTAAAATAATTTTCTGTTGCGTCTAAAAACATGTTGGCAGAGGTTAAATGCTAACAAGATTAAACAATAAGGGCAATCTTCAAGCCTTAATACCCACTAAGTTCGACAATAATATCTAGCTACGGAGTAGCAAGATAATTATATTGTTGGGTTTAATACCAATTTCTTGAACGTAACAAAATCAATGAACAAATTTCTAAATTTATTCTCTCATTGAATTGACATTAATATATTATATTTTAGTGCAAAATAATAAAACTAAATAAAAACGATTCAATTTCATAAAAAACAAGCTTAATCCAGAACAATTCATAACAATAAAAATTTTTTAAATCGAGAAAGTGCCATTTCAATTGACTTGTGTTATATGACCTGGAAAGGGCGATCGGCCAATCGCAAAATTAATATTGTTACTGTGATTTTGTTTAATTCGGGTTTTAATGAAATTTTACATATTTACGCGATGAAATAGTAAATGGAAACGTTATGTACCAAATTAAAGAAAAAACTCGAATGGAACTATTTCTGAGTTCTGTTGCTTGTTAGTAACATTCAATCGGCAATTCGCAGATAAAATAATTGCTGTTGTCATTGCAGCGCACTGAATACAGGGAACTATTCTTTGCAGTCCTGATTGCGACGCAGCCTTGGGCATTGTAGTTGTCTGCTGCCCACATATTTTCCTCCACCTTTGAGCCGTCACGCCAACGGTAGTCTGGATCCTCGCCATTCCCCTCGCTTTTTGCTGACACCCACCACCACCAATAATTGACTTTTGAATGAAAAAAATCAAACATTTTATTCATACACTGTGAGGGGAAAAGAATTCGTACCATTAAGAGTCTTTGTTTTCTGGTGCACCGCGTCTAAATCAATTTGGTTTTTCAAGGTAGCTAGGTAAAGACCCCTGTTTTCGCACCAATCGTTTGCATCAGTCCAGGTTCCTGCCTATTCCTGGATATAAATAATATAATTGCAAAGTAAAATCATATACTTTAGAAGTATCAGAAAAGTAGTATTTTTTCCCGTTTGACGCCGTCGTAAGCTCCATTAGACCTGTAAAAATTAATTATAAACTGGCTGCAGCTGTATGAACAAAAAATTTGGGAATTTGTGAAATCTTATAAATTAATTACGCGCTTTTGTGCAGTTTTTGTTGGTCTCATGTGCTTCCTAAAATGGAGATATCAAATTAATATCAATCTGCAAATTGATTGTTTCCGACCTTTTCTTGCCAGAGTTTGCCCGTGGCGTTAGCCAATTCTAACAGCCTTTGATTTGTCTCGCTGAAATTATGTTGCAACAACTCCATCTTCTTCATTGCCTTCAATCATAAGACATATACATAAATTAGCTCTTCTAATACCTTCTAATACAGAAAATAGGGTATGTTTATTTTAAATTGTCACAACATTGGCTGGATGATTTTCATCTCTGATAATTTTTTTCTCTTGAAAGTATTTTTAAATAAATATATCCAGTTATAGGAATACACGAATGCAATATAAATTAGAAACTATATTATATACATCTCAGTTCCGTAGTTAGAGCTTCTTTGGAAACCAATGAAAAATTTGAATGATTTGTTCTTACTTCTTGATTTTGCAATTCAAGTTCTTCAGTCTTCTTGGCTAAGATTGAAACTTGCTGCTGCATCGCTTTGATCTCGCTGGAATACTTTTCAGCCATTTCTACCTCCTTCAATAATATCAAAAAAGAACGTTTTACTTTTACGACTTTTACATTATTTAAAATTAAAATAGTTCTTTTGGCAACATAATGTAGGCCAACATAAAAACAAATTGACTAAACGGCTAGAGGTGCACAGTTACAAGCAATGACAAAAAAAAATTGAAGTGCATGTCTAGACAAATCAAGAATATCAAAATAGATTTAACTATAATGCCATTCCCAAGACTATTAGAAAAAGGTCCAGCGTGCAGCTCATTTTTTAATCTGCTCAGTAGTAAACGATTGAAATTCCTCCTCTCTTAGAGCAACTGTGCAGATCACCTGCCTTTTTATTCAAATTTATTTTTTTTAGGGAAAGATTGACGGTTACATTTTTTGGTAAATTAGAAACCTGCGTGCGGTCGGCGGTGCTGCGCAGTCCCGAGATCTCCTTAGCCACTTGCTTAACACCATCAGACACGGCTTTCATCGTGTCCTGCTCACTCGTCGCCCACTCTTTCCTTTCGTCGGCCTGCATTTACAAGAAACCAATGCAATGATCTCGTTTCGATCACTGGAAAAATCTCACACCTCTTTGAGCTCTTGTTTGCGGCGCTGGTCGGATATTTGGACCAATTCCTTCATCTCGTCTGCGATCTGTTGCAGCGCCGCCCGATCACTATCACCCTTTTTAAAAAAAAGTACAATTATAATTATATTAAAATCGATTCATCGTAAAAAATTTTTAACGCCATTAATGTTTAAGTGTATATTGACCCATATTGGTCAAATTTACGTCAAGTACGTGGATTTTGCAATCTTCTGATAAAAATATTGAATTGTCAACGTGTCTCTGCGGATTTTAAACTGAATCAACGAAAACATCTAAATTATATAAATTAATATTCCGTAATATTCATAATTATCAATACCTTGAAAGAGTTGCCAATACCCTCGGTATTTGTGGTGACTCTGTTGAAGGTGGCGGCAAAGCACAGAAGCACCCAGATCCCATTTTTGGTGAAAACTCTGATCATTTTGCTTAAAATTGGTGACAATTCAAGAACGGCTCAACGAGGCAAATGCCGACTTTTATTAATAATTCTCGCTTTCCACCCCCTGCTTGGCGATAAGAGAGCACGTCAAAATCAGAAAGTTTGTGGGTAACATCCGTCTTTTGGCTTTCCTGTGTGAGTCGCAATCACCGAGATTAATGGGGCAGTAGTTCAATTTCCGCCAAGAAGCAGTAAACCTGATAATCACATGGAGTTCTAAATTTACAAAAGCTCTCTATTTTAAATTTTCAATAATGAGCTTTCTGTTTAAAAAAGAGCAACAAACAAGGTAAAGTCTGTTAATTAATATGTTTGTATGAGTTACACACAAATAAACACAAAAATCAATGGTTAAGCTATTAAAAAAATTGTTTTTCACCGCAGAGGCATCAAAAGAATTAATATAGCAGATGCATTGATATGTTAATTTTAAAGTTTTTCTATGCCTAAAGAATAAATTCAACCAATATGTTCAGCAATCTAAAAAAGAAAAGTACATTTTTTTTTGTTTAAAAAAAAAGACCGGTTAATTTGAGATTTGATCTTGGAACATCCTTCACGCCTCTACTGCAAACAGCCCTCACGCTGTGATTCGATATCATTTGACTCCGGATAAATTTACCTGAAGCCACCATCTGTGTAACACTCTCTTCTTGCACCATACGATTCGGATCGAGTTTTCATAAATAATTATTATTGATCTTGGCTCGAGGTGTGTGGGTTCGGCGTGAATTTCAATTTGCTCCTCGGAATTTGATTTCCTAGACTTGCCTACCGAGCGTCGCATTTCAGCATAGCTGCGAGCTTGTCGGTTTATTAGTCTGAATTTGATCACGTAACTCTGCCGCAAGGCCAATGAGGATATATGCTAAATTCGGAGACAAACTTTGCGTGTCAAGTTATCACAATCGAGACGGAGAAACGACGAGTAGCTGAAATTGAATCGCTTTAAACTGTTTAAAGTCTTAACAAATAATAATACCAAATCTTTTAATTAGCCCTGATTTAAAGTGTAAGTTTCTTTTATAGAAAAGTTAAAATCGACTTAAACGTCTGACAAAAGTCTTTTGTTCCTTAATTATTATGGGTAAGTGTAATATGTATTGTGCAAGCTAAATTTTTTTAATCTGATTATGTTTATATCAACTATTAATTAATTCGCTTTCATGCCTCTTTTTGCTTTTATTCTAAAATTGAAGTCAAATTCATTCAAGTAACTTATGTAATTTCCATTTTTAAATGAAATAAAATTCTGAACTATGGCATTGTGCCGCATTGTGCTGATCCAATTTAAGTATGCACTTCAGGTTAATATGGGGAGGTTGACAAAACTTTTAATTAATTAAATCGCCAAATGAGATAATAGCTCTAGGAAGATTAGGCAATTGAAGAAATCGTACCTGTTTTTTTTATTTTTTTTTCCGTGAACAAAGGGTCAGATGAGATTATGACTATTTTTTACAAATAAAAATACACCGTTCGTTTTTCATTTTATTGACTTGTGCTCAAGCGTCCTTCCTTTTATTCTCAAAGAAACAAACGTTCAAATTTCAACAAAAATTTGTGTCCACTGCATACAAGGCACAGGCTCAGTTTACAGTTGGCTGGACTTTTTAAATATTCCAATTAAATATATATTAAAAAAGAAATTAATGAGAATTGCAATTTCAGCTTTGAAGATTGGAGTGGCACAAAATTTTAAGCCGCAAATTGCACGCAATGAAGGGCCTATTGCTTAATTATTCTTTTTATAGAGCCGCAAGCGAAAAACGAGAAAACCATTACAATGATTAGCTTTTGTGCTGCGCTGAAGATGTGTCATTTTAAATGGTGCGGACAGTTCCGCACATGGTATGCAATTACCAAATTAAAACCAGACGCAATCAAAAAGACCCTGCGTTTTGAAAAACACGTTGAAGCAACGGGAATTTGAGGCTTCTCTCGTTTCCGAATTAGAGTCGGACACGTTCTGCGTGTTTGCTTTGATATTCAAACTGTGTATATCGGCAGCCGCTTTTCACTCGAAACTCGCGTCAAGGCACAAAAGCAGTCGACCGTTCATTAGGCGGAGAAACGACCGGCATTAGGTTTGTTCGCTGGCTCGTAGTATGTACCTTGGTTTAAATGAGGAGCTCACGTGTAATTTGATTTGAGTTGAAACGTGCGTCCTTGTTGGATGATTTCGGAATGCGGTGCGCCGAAATTTCAGCGCGGCGGCGAAACATTTTCAAAACAAATTATTCGTGTATGTTAACAGAGAACAGCTAGGGTAATAAAATTTGTAAATGAGAGCTTTTTGTGTTCTGAATCGCTGATTTGAGCTGTGTTTGCGCAGAACGACACAATTTTTGTGTTGCCGGGAATGTCAAAGACTGGAGAGCTTCATTTGTGTGTAAAAAGTAAAAAAAGCTTAATTGTCAAAATTGTTGCCCTTGTTATGCACATGCGAATGATATAAAATTCATTGTTAAGCTCTAAAAACATAATTATAGATTTTAAAGCTTTGCTGGAATTGAGTTTAACTGGCTTAACATTAACACGCAAGATACTAGTTAGTAAGAGAGACAGAAATTGATTGAACGTTAATAATAATAAACTAAAAAGTGAAAATTAACTCTAACTGATAAATTATAATTAAATTTTTGCATACATTGTGGGCAACTCTGGTGTTCATTATTGCACTGTCATAACAGATATAAATTTTTGACCCTTCAAATTCACGTATTAAATGGTTTTTGAGGCATTTTTTTTTAATTGTTAAAAAAAAATTATAATTTTAGAGACAAAAATAGATTTCAACAATAAAAATTATGACTGAATTCCGTGGCCAATTTTTTTTATTTCACAGTAAATTTAATTTGTTTAAATTTCAAAGCACGCTTTTCGATTTGCAAAGATGAATAAGCAATTCTGTATTTGTTGAAATGTGTGTTATTACTAACCCAAATATTACTTTGGATCCTTTGAAGAACATGATTTTCAGCAGTTTAGACGATTATGCTACGAGTTCTTTTAATGAAGAATAATGATTGAATATTAAGTATAATAATTCTACAAAAATTAAATTAAAGACAAACAGGGGGTAAGGAAGTAGTAAATAAACTTTTTGAAAAGGTTTCAATTTATCTTCTCCCATTATTTTCATTTGACAGTTCGTGAAGTTTAATTTGGTATTAAAGAGCTTGAGAAATTGCTCATCATATTTAAGCTGAACAACTTAATTCACAGCTCAGGCCCCATCTTAAGCAAAAAATTAATTAACAGAATCCTGTTTAGCTTTGAGGTTGATGGCAAAAAGTTAGATTGCCGCTGTGCCACCGTTGCTCTTTTTGCGCCAGCACAGGGGGAGAGAGTTTTGCTGCCAGTTGGTGGATTGTGGATTTATATCCGAATGTAGATGATGTGGTTTTTTGCCCCCACGGCGCGCCCCGTTCGGTCTCTCTCCTCGCAAATACTCATTAAGTTCGTGTGCGAATGGGGAAACAGATGTGCGGCCAGTTGCAGCACTTTAATGTGGGTCAAAAATCTACGAGAGTTCCAACTTTAAATGCACCTCCTGCTCTCTCTACTCTTTCGAAATTGGATTTGGTGTTGCAATGTGGCCGGACGAGCAAATGGCAGTGCCCACATTTATTTTGCACGTTCTGCTTTGGCTTAGCTGGATAAAAAAAGTTCTGCAGAAGCACCGGAAATTAATAAAAAAGTAAAATGCAGGGCAAGCATTTTTTATATTAAATATATATTAAAAAGTACAGTGCATTTAAAAATGGATGCAAAAAGACAAAATTGAATTCAATTTTGTGTAAAAATGTGTTTTTTTCTAGAAGCAAATTGAATTCAACGCACTGCATTTTTCTGTTGCTCGTCTTTAAACTCAATAAGATTCAAATCAGTACGAATAATGCAATATAATGCTGGAATAATCAATTAAATTTCCTTTAAACCAACAATTGTTTTTGTAAGAAACCGAAAATTTACTGCATTCTTCAAAATCAATATGTATGAATTTTTTCTATAGACATAAGAAAAATTTTAATATTCATACAAATGTATATTTCATATGTTTCCTCAAAATATAGAAAAATAAAAATTTGTTTAAAAATTAAGAAAATCTAAAAAAAAAAAAAAAGTTTTCCCAAAAATAAATTAAAAAGTGTATTTCCTCCGAATCCCTGCGGAAAATATAGGTCGAGTGATGGATGTAGAAATGATGATTACAAAATTTACAGTTGCTGCAGAAAATGAGTTTTGCAGTGGGAACGTCGCTTGAGAGGAAGATGAAAAGAAGCTTCAGCCGCGATAATGCTGTAGCTCTGGTGTATATCGCTCCCCTGATGATGAAAATTTCCAATAACGCCGGCAGATTACAATCCAATAATATACCACACTCGCTCAAGAGCACATGAAAAAGTGGAACGACATATTACGTTCTTATTTTTTGTATCCTCTATTGACAACATCAGAACCAGGAGAAGATATGAAAACTGGGAGAGAAGTGCGGCCATCCACTTGAAGAAGTCCGACTCGGTGGATTAATTTAGCTCCAGTGACCACCCTGTCTATTCTGTAGCATGAAAAGACAAAATGAGAGGAAACAGGTGAATCGATATACGCCTCCGCATTGGGCTTCTCACGAGGATAAATTTAGCCCTACCATGGTGAGCATAAAACTTTCACAACTTTCACAATATAATCATTTAGTAATCCTCAAATCCCTTTAATCCTTGGTTTCATGATACATATTCATTTCAATTTGCTTCAAAATTTACTATCCTGACAATGGATCTCTGCTAAATTTGTAATTTTGATTCAAAATATGCTGTCTGGCAAAAAGTATCGTTTTTTCCTTTTTTACAAAAAAGGTTTTTTTAAATTTCCTATGAACATGTTTAAAAATGTGAATTTACAAGCTAAAATTTTTGAAATAAAATATTTAATCCTAAATTAAATTTGCATTTTTAATTAACATCCTTTCGCTAAAATTCTGGGAGCTAAATCGTACATCATTTGATTAAAGCGAACTTCCTTTTTACGACCACAGTAGATATGTTGGTAGATATGCTTAATTTCGCACACTTTTGCACGCAGTAAAAAGGTCGTTAAAGACGAGTCGATAACGAAGAGAAGTCGTGTCGAATTAAATTTAATTAAAAGTATGGCCGTTCGCTGCCGTGCACCCTCGGGACAATAAAAATCAAATAATTTCATCGGCAGGCGGTGCGAGCAGGGCGAAACATGTGCGCCGCTCGGCTCCTTGGGGACTTGACAAGCATCTCTCGTGTCAGAGGTCGGACAGGCAATTCCTCCTCGTCACCCGTGCGCCGTACGCCAGCCAGATAATAACAACTCAGCCTTATTCCACTCCGCCGACCGGGTCCCCGAGGAGCCCAAAGTGCTCCGGCTCCATCCGCCCAGCCCTGGGACTTGTCACTCAAATAATTTACACTGCAATTGTTGTGTGCCAACGTGCTGCACGTACAACCCGCCCTTTGGACGCCGCCGGCAGCCCTTCGGGGACATCCAGTGCAGACTTTGGATAAAGTTGGCAACAAGTAAAAGACAAAATTGATTTTGGCTAATTTAAGGGATTATAGCCAGCGATAATCAGTAAATTTGTAAAAACTAGAAAGTTATATTCGATAAAATGGGCAAAGAATCTAAAAAGCTATTCTTTTCTTATAGGACAATAAGGGATCATTTTGGATGAATATTTATGATTTTTGGTCTCATTAATTAAATTGATAATGGCTGCTTAATTTTTTTCAATAACAGGTACTTTTTGGTATAAAATGGAAAATAGTATTTTATTTTAGTTAAAATAGGTGTAAAAAGACAATTCAATTTTGTGCGTGTTTCTTTTACTATTTTGTGTATGGTAACTTTTTAATTAAACTATTTTCAAAAATGGGTGAAATTTTGTATTTCAATGTAGGTTTTTTAAGGTGAAAATATGCGGTAATATACTAAAACATATAGAAATAGAAAAACGAGTTGAATTTAAAATAACAAATTTGACTTCGTTTCTGAAAAATAGGTATTAAGTTAAAAAAAAGTGATTGATCACCTATTTAACCCATCCCAAATAAAAGAGATAAAATTAAAAAGCAACTATTTGTAAAAGTAAAAATTTCCTATCAATAGATGTTATGGAAAATATAAAATATTACTTTATTCTAGATTCTAGACCAGAATTTGCAATTAAAATTAGTTATTTGCCTTAAAAACCGAATGTTTAAAATTCCTCCCATTATAAACATTTTGTTTATCTTTTGAGTGACTCTTGACTGCTCCCTTATACAAAACTAACAAAACCGTTGAGACAGCATTTGGCGTCTCGATTAGAGCTCATCATTATTCAACAGGCCCATAATGAACCCTTGTTAAAAATCACTAAAAAGTGCCGATAAATAATTTCCCATGCGTCCCTTCGCCGCAAAAAGGGGCATCCGTCAGCGATGGAGCGAAATTTATGCGCAAACCACCACTCTTCGGGATAATGTAATGCGGCATGCAAATGAGCAGGCACGCCGATCGCATTTTTGATGGCGTCAGCGTTATTATTCCGAGAGCGGCCACACTACCTTGCAAATAACAAAATTGATAGATGATGGGCTGCTGCCGGCCGCTGTAGGTCAGTAATGCACGGCAGCTGCTTTTCCGAATTGAGCGCTCGCACGCCTTGCCGATAAAAAATGACTCGCGCAGGAGGTGTTTGTAATGCGGATACCCTTGATATTTGTTGGCGCCGTTTTATTTTCCGCCGTATACGCGAACACGCGGGCTGCGCTCGGTGAAATATTGGCCTGCTCCGCCGCCACCACCGCAAGAATGAGGAATGAGAATGTTCGCGCGCATTATATTTCCCAGCAAGCCGCTATCTCCCGCGAGTGTTGATCATAATATGGATGAGCGGCAATCAATTGCCCGTCTTATTATTATTGAGAGCCAGCTGACACTTTCTCAAAGCTGTTATCAGCCACAGCGCCGCCGTTTTTTTTTTTACAATGGATTATGATTGACTGAAATTATTTTCAATAGAAAAAAATGCAAATCTTGAAAATGAATGATCAATTAGGAGTAGTTGCTTTTTATCTAGGGCAGTTCTGCCATCTCCTGTACAATGACGTTATTCGAAATCAACGCCTTGCTAGATGGGTTATGCAACCGGTGTATCACGTACGTTGCGCCGGTTGCGTAAAATGAAATGAGGCAGCTATAATTATTATTGTAAGGAATGGAATTTCTGATCATAAAAGCGGTGTGAGATAGAAATTTTAAAAACTTGTTGAAACGCAATTAATGATAAATTTCTAAATTAACTAACGCAATGTAACGGCATAAATTTTTAACATTTTATACATCAATAAAATAGGTAAATAAAAATTAATTTTATAATTGAAAGGATTTAGCCTTTCATTTCATGGTTTTATTTTTAAAATTTCAAAACCAAAACAAATTGTCCAGTTTCGTCCTCTGCTCCAATTTGAATGGCTGGATGGAATCTATTCTATTTTTTTAATAAACCCTCCATTGATTTCACACTGATATTATTCACCGTGTTCTGTCCGTAAATAAAAATAACAAATAATTATTGATGGTTCGTTGAAGTGCTTATTCATAAAAGCTATATTGAATAGGAGCCTGAGTGCTGATTGTCAGCACTTTATTCTCGCCAGCACTATGGAGAGAGCCGAACTGTAACGGCGAAAGTGTATTGTTGCTGGCGCTCTATGCATTGTCCGCTGGCTGTTGTAATAATGCACTGCCGTGGGATCAATAGATATATTATGTGCCCACTATAAGGGACATAGAGTAGAGAGGGCCGTGGAGCAGCTGCCATAAAAATTTGCTCTTAACGCCGTCGTCTCTGTACGAGAGGCTCACAAATCACTGACCAAGCCACTCTGTGCTACTTTGTAAGAAGGTGGCGGCGGCGGGCAGGTAATGAAGGCGAAAATTATTGCCCCGCCGAGGCTTTGCATAATGCATCGCGCAGCCATGTACTTAGCACACTCTTTCTGGTGAAGCTCTAAATTGAGATTAAAGATGGAGACCAGTGAAAGCAGCATAGACCCAAAAAATAAATCACCACAAATTGTCAAGCTGTTAATAAAGAAAAATGCTTAACATTTCTTATTTTTGTTGGGTACAAAAAAAACTTAACATAATTATTCACTCAAATTGAATAGAATTTTAGTTCAATAATATAATTAAGGTGAAACCAAATAATTTCATTAATATCATATTTTTATTACCAAAGTAAATATACTTTTTACAATAAAATTACAATTACAGAGTTTCACAACATATCTCTATTAAGCAAAAACCTGTTTAGAATGTTCCCACTTAGCAGATCATTCTAATTGATCAAATCATCCCAGAAAGTTACTTAATGAAATAATGACACTTCTTAATTAACTGTCATACACATAATTGCACAGAATGAATTCTAAAGCTAAAAAATATGAAAATAACTTAAATGGCTAATGAACGGTGAAAAGTGCAAGTTGAGGCATGAATGTCTTTTAATTTGTGTTGGAGCTGCTGCCAATTGATTTCATCAGCTGATAGCATTCCAACAACTTCTTGCGGTCGCCAATTTTTTCAAGAGTCTTCGCTGCCTCTGCCAGCATTCCAGCACGCTCGCCAGGAGTTGATAGAAGGGGGGTAGGCAGATGCCTGCATGCCAAGTACAAGGCGTTTGCGTGCTCCCTCTCGCCTCCAACTCCTTGGTGTGATTTGTCTGCAGAAAATAATAATTAGCTTTTTAGCCGTTTAAACAATGCTCAAAATACCTTTTCCACAAATCACTGATGACCTGTTGTATCTTTGCCTCAGGCTCCTGTCCAGCAACTGTTGCGTCCTGCCTGGAGCGGCACCGGCCATTAGTCTTGCGGCGGCCTCATGCAAGAAAACTCTTGGCATGGCCGACTGTAAAAATAAATTTCATTATTTTATTTTCGGATTATTTATTAACTTACTGGAAGTAATTGAGACAGTCTCCTCAAGGAGGCCAGGTCCTGCTGGAATCCAGAGAGCTCAGATTGGGAAACCGGCGTCATTGTGCCATCGTTTGACTTTTCGCTATCAGAATCCGTTTCCCAAACGCATGTGCGCGTTTCCAAAAGCCAATCGCAAACCAAGAGTTGAGCCAGCTGAGAGTGCAAGGATTTTTTTTAGTTCTAATTTCACATTTTGTTTTTAAAATTTTCGTTTACCAGAGTCATGGTTGAAGGCTGCTTGCACGAAGAAAATGTGATGCTGTGGTCGACAAGTCTGCCTGCAACTCCACACATGCGCAAGATTGCCTTCTTAGATGATTTTCTTGATAAAAGGGCTCGTCTTGCTCTGAAAGCTGCCAAAATTGCTTTAGGCAATGGGTTGCTGTTGTTCTTCAGTTGCTCAGGAATGGCTTCGATTCGAGAGTAAAGGTGCTCAGCTCTGGACTCTTCTCCGAGCAGCCAGTAAGTGGCGACGCCAAGAATGGAGCCCCACCACTGAGAAATCTCGTCTTCGTTTCCACTTTCCACAAGCAGGTGCACATAGGTCAAAGTGTCAGACGTCTGAGTTCGGCGAATTTCCTCTTCATTGGCAACACGATGAGTTCCCGGAGCTAGAAGAGTGTTCATTGCCTTCTCAAGCAGCTGCTTGCGGTACATCTGGTGTTTATGTTTGGTTTAGCAAAAATCCAAATATTAATTTTAATTAACTTACTCTGATAGCGTAAGCCAGAGGATCAGCATTGTCTTCAAGTCCGCTGAACAATGTGGCTGCCATCGTCGAATAACTCCAAGAGCGGGAGACAAAGAAACGGTGGCCGTGAGCTGTGAAAAGCCATTGCAAGCGGAGCGGAACTTGGCTGCAGTGCTTCATGCACACTTGGCGTGCCAGACCCAAATAGTACCTTGAAGAAACAAATAAAAAAATTAGCTTTTTTGAATTAAGTTTCAATTTCCGATTTTTGTACCGGCTTTTATAATTTAAAGACAATTATCTTGAATAAAAATTGATTTGGTAGCAAAATTCCACTAAATAATTTAATCCATTATAATTTTCATAAACACTCACCGATTACATGGCTGAAGGGCTGTAGGCAAGCTTTCCTTCACTCTCAAGGCGGCACCAACGTAAATCAGGGCAAGTTGCTCAGGTGGCATTGAATCTCCTGAAGCCTCAGCCATGTTCACAGCACTCAGGGCCAAAATTAAGGCTGACGAGCGCCCCTCAGGCGATCCCTGAACGAGAGCAATTTGATGGAGTCTGTGGTAAACGACAGCCAGTTCTTTGGCGCACGCTGCTGCCTCCAGTCCAGCTTTTCGGGCCAGCCAACGTCCAACCCAAAGACGGTGCAACAACTGTCGGACAGACTGCCAGCAAAAGGCTGAGGCTGTTTCCAGTTTTGAGGCTGGCAGAGGTTTCCCCACTGCTTGCAGACACCGACGATATTCTTGATTTGCAGCACTTAGATCCCCCTAATGAGAAAATATTTTAATTTTTGTCAGCTTTAATAAAAATAAATTTCTAACCTTCTTCAGGTTGAATTCAGCCTGGTTCTTGTGTCTCCAGAATTCAACAGAGGCTTTCGACTTTGAAGGAATGATCGGGTCTCCGAACATGAGCATCTTTACCATACAAATTCCAAGTATGACCGCGTTGAAAATGAACACCAAGACCGAGGACGTTATCCACTTCCACAAACTAATTCCATCGCCTAAATTAACAAATAAATGTAGATTCAAAATTATTATCTTTTTATGGAAAAACTGCTCACTTTCAACTCCCAGAACCGTTCTGCCTTTTTGACTTGTGCTGTAGTCGGGCGACTCTTCCATAACGTTGAACAGAGCGCCCATGGGGTTGAAAGCAACAACTGACATCATGAACATGCACAAGGCCAGTTTCGAGTGGTCCAACATGCCTCGTCGCATGCCAAGACCAGAGTTGGAGTCCTGGTCTCCTTCCATCTGATAAATTTTAAGTTTTAAATTTAAAAGGAAAAAAATAACAGTAAAATATCTTACATGAGTGGTGAAAGAGTCGGGAGACCCAGGAGGTGAGCCAGTGTCATCAGAGTGAGGTGGTGACAAAGAAGGTGAACTCTGTGGAGGGGTCATTTCTGGGGACACAGTCAGAAGGTCCTTGATGTTGGTCGCTCCCAATTGTTGTCCAGAAGCCAAACGCAGGGCAATGTTTTCCTGCTTGAGTTTGTTGTTTGTATTTTGCAGGTATCTGATGTAATCAATAGCTTTTCGCAAGATTGCACTTTTATTCAGCTGCAAATGAGGAAATTCATTATGGTAAATAAAATATGACTCTGGGAACTTACTTTGGCTTCCGTTCCAACAACCATGTTTTTCAGCTCAATAATTTTATCATTGATGCTCGTTCGATATCTTCGTTCGATGGCATTGTGTGCACTTCTTTTTACTTCCTTCACCTTCGGCACTTCTTTGTGAGTGACATTGATTCTATTTATAGGCATCTTTTGGTCACTATCCAATAAAATTCCTAAAATAATACATCAATTGTTGAAATATTGACAGGAAATTATTTATTTATCCGATTAAATTTGTTTTGCAATTATTTGCTTACCTGTAGTAACGAAAGTGCCTGTGTTGGAGCTGACAATGGTTCTCAAAGGGTGCGACTGCTGCCCACTCCTGCTGCTGGCCACCGACACAGGTGTGCCGGTTGTTGCATACATGACCTGCCCTGCTCCGATTTGATGGGGTGGGGAACAGTGTGGTTCGGACTTAATGAATTGCGCTTGGACCAAAACCTGCTGCATTTTTTCCTGAGGCATTTGCAGGAGGAGAGGTTGTTGCTTTGCAGCGCCACCCTGAAGAATCTGCTGAGGGTTGGTCTGGTAGATTTGCTGGGCCATGCCCATTGGCTGCAGCAGCACTGTGGCAGTGTTCGAAGCCTGCACTGATTGTTGAACAACAGCAGGCCTTGGCATTAAACGTTGCTGGAAAATACAAAATTTGAAGTTAAATAAATAGTAAAAAGAAGATTGTGAAAAGTTTCACCAACCTGCTGTGCTCTCAGCTGAGGCGAGTTACTGTTGGAGTTTGTAAAAAGAGGTGGAGTGACAACCTCTTTCTTGATTTCAAGATCATTTGCTTTCAGCTCATCCTTCACAGGGGTGGTCATCGCGTCCGCATTCAATGAACTGAGAAGTCCGAAGTCTGTGTCATCCGCCATCAACAGGTCGCTCGAAAATAATTCTTCTTCGCAGCCAGAAATAATGTCTAAAATATTAAAGATAAATATTATAATTCCAGAAGAAAAAAAAATATTTGATCAAATTGGTATCATTAAAATTAAAAAATAAATTAAGACTAACGATCGATTACAATCGTCAAGAGAATATCATGAGTGAAAATGATGCAAGAAAGTGAGAATCTTAAAATTTGCCAAACAGTTTTGCAAAATCTTTTAGATAAATACTGACCGTGACCGAAAATCGACAGTACGATTGAATTACGCATTAAATTTGAAGCGGTCACTTGTAAATGATAACAAAGACGTCTGTCGCCTCTGAACTCTCCCACAAAGGTGAAACATCGGATGTTACGATCAGACCACCCGAAGCCCGAAGGCTCGGTGAACATACTAGATCAAATTTCGGCCGCCAATTACCGTCAAGTCCGTTCAGCTCGTCCAGAGTGAACGGCGCGTTGTCCGGGGCGCCGAAGGCGTCTGTGTCCATAGCTCCAGAGTCCTGAGCTATTGATTCGGGCGGAAAATTACGAGACCAAGAGCGATCCTGGCCTTCCAAATTCGCCATGACAGAACATCAGGCACATCAGCCCATGTGCGTTGACCAATCAGTGACGAGAAAAACAATCACCTTATGATGACGTCTCTGGTCTGATCAAAACAGAGCCAATCAGAGGCTGCGTCAGTGGCGCTGAAACTTAAAACTTTTTGCAAATTGTAAATATTGCGCGTTTTGCAGTTTTTTGCAATAATTATTACATAATTTGGTTGAAAAAACATTCAGATTAAAATAAAATTTTGAAATAAATGTATCTTTGCAAATTTAAATGCTTTATTAAGATAATTTTGTGCTTTATTTCAAGTTCGCAGAAGAAACAAAAGAGGGGCGTGGTGCGTATTTCCGAAAACAGCTGCAATTCAAGGTCAGACGAGGAAGGAGCCTCGCCGTTTGGCCTGGGATGACGTGTGTTTTTGTTACTGGCACAACAACACAAGTGCACATCCAGGTGCAATTCCTCCGATAAAAGCCATGTTTTGGGTTACGTGCGAACTCCGTCACGCCGGCCAGTCATTTTGAAGGCATGAGACCAGCGAGATGTGCAATCTGGTGACCCTATTGTTGCTCGTGCTGGGGCTCACGTCCCTCTCGGACGGTGTCTTCCCCAGCATCCCTGGCGTTCAGCAGGCATTTGACGACCATGACCAGTGCTTCTGCAAGGTTTGCTTTTGTTTCCTATTTGAACCACAGCTTATCACCTTGTTTCATTTTGTACCAGATTTTCAATAAATCATTTCATCTTGACAGAGTACGTAACATGTTATTTTTAATGCTGAGATCGACATTTTTCTCCGTGCGTTATTATTTTATGCATTTTCTTCATAATTGTTGTTTCTCAATTATATAAAGCGGGTTAACACACACTCAACATTGCAAAATATAATTTGCACTAGAGCCAAAATAACTATGTATGACTTCCAATTTACATCTATGATAGCTGATTTCAATTAATACATAAATCAATCGGAATTTTAAATTATAATACAAGTAAAAATTTCAGAGTTAATAATAATTGATGATGTAATAGTCGAAATATTTAATGTATTTACAAAAAAAGCGTTAAGTGATGTAGTCTGTTTTTTTTTTAATTTTTTTTTCTTTTATACAATATATCAAATGCAAATTAAATAATTATCACCACACAAATGAAATAAATGTTTGAATTAAACATTAAATTGAAAATCATTTGCAATTTTTAACACTATTTATAGGTATTTAATTTAGTTTTCTAATAATAATGAACAGTTTTAAATGCAATGATATATATTTTTGAATAAATTAATATTATTTACAAAATTCATTCTAAATAATATGTATGTTGAGATTATACCGTTGAGGTGAATCATGCCGGCAAGCACGTATACCGTTAACGGTGCTATACTACTTTCAAATTTCTATTGCAAGAATTCATTGCCAATGTCAATTTTATTCTTTATTTTTTTAAAGCAGCCAAATACTGAAAATCATTTTTGGTATATTTAATTAAATTTTAAAATGCGAGAATTATTATAGAATTTTTTTTCAATTCAATAAAGGGAAATAATATTCAATTGCATTACAGTGACAAGTAAAAATTGCTCTTATGTAAATTTATAATAAACAAATTAATCTCTCATTACTTGATAAAATTCTTATCAGGCGTGAAATTTCCCCGACGCGCAAAAATTATCTTTGCAATTATTTTCCATTTATTTTTTAATTCTTATTTTCAATGAAAAATATGGCTCTGGAAAATTCTGTTTTTGAAAAAAGAAACAGCAGGAAACTGATTTATATTCTATTTGTCTGCCTGATTACGTAATTTCTAAAAAGCAACATCGCATCCAAAATTTAAATAATACATTCTGATTGAAATAACTTCACAACATCTATATTTAAAATTGACTTGTTATTAAATATAATTAGCACACACTTTGTTCAATTCACAGCTGCAAGGAGGAATCGATGACTGCCTGTGCAATGTTGATACGGTTGACACTTTTAACAACAACCAACTCTACCCCAGGCTAAACAGCCTTTTGTCCCATGACTACTTCAAATTTTACAAGGTGCAGTTCATATTAATTGTAAATATAAATTTTCACTGAAATTTCGAAAATTAAAATAGGTTGACCTGGGACGTGAATGCCCCTTTTGGAGTGACGACAGCAAGTGCGCAATCAGATATTGTCATGTTGAAACATGCGGAGAAGTAAAATAAAAAATTTAAAATTATGAAAGTTTATTAGTTTTTTTTTTTAACAGTCAGATATTCCGCCTGGGTTGAAGGGTGGTGCTGAAAATGTCAGCAAGAAGAACAGGGTAAGTGTGAGTTATCCATGATTTCTTTTATTTTAAAGTATTTTTTGTTTTTTACTTACGTGCAGGTATTTTTTTAATTTCAAATAATTAAAAAAATTCAGATCACGCTTCTTCAGAAAACTTTTTTTTTCTTTTGGTAGAAGTTCATTGACCGCGCTTGTCTCCAGTTAAAATAACCTCATTCCTTTTTATCTCCCCCAGTACACCGAAGAGGCACAAAACTTCCACGAGGGCTGTGATACCGATACCGAGTTGGGATACCTCAACACCACAATCAGGTTTGATGAATTTGCCAACAAGTATTTCAATGAATATTTAATTTGCTAAAACAGCGCTGCTGCACACGCACATTTCCTCGAGTGGGAGCATTTTGACGATTCAAATTCGGAAAATTTCTGTGACGAAAGTGGCTACCTCGGCTCAAATGCTGCCTACGTTGACCTCAGCCTCAACCCGGAGCGCTACACTGGCTACAAAGGAGATAGTGCGCACAGAATTTGGCACTCCATTTACCGAGAAAATTGCTTCCGGCCCAAAGCTACCTTCAAAGCCTACATTGAGTCGGCAAAACTGCAAGGTGGGGATTTCTGCACTTTATTTTGCTTTTTTTCATACCAAAACCTTTTAGGGATGTGCTTGGAGAAGAGAAGTTTCTACAGAGCCATCTCTGGACTGCATTCAAGCATAAATATTCACTTGAGCTCCCGATATCTGTTATCTGGTGAGACTACTCAAATTTTTATTTTAACAGTATTTAAAATAAATTTTATATGACAGATAAATCTTCTCTTGGATTGCCATCTCCTGGAGGAACTTGGGGTCCAAATTTGGCTGAATTTTACAGAAGGTTGATTTAGAACTTATCATGAATTATATATTTTCTTAAACATAAATTTCTACAGATTCAGTCCTGAGCACACAGAAGGCGAAGGTCCAAACTGGCTTCAGAATCTCTATTTCCTCTACATTTTGGAAATGCGAGCCATCGCCAAAGCTTCTCCTTACCTCTTACGAGAATCATACTTCACTGGCAAATCTGAGGAGGACAAGATGGTTTCGGAGGCTGTAAGGGACATCTTGAAAGTCATCAAGTATGTTGGCTCAAATTTGGTTTAATTTCCAAGTAATTGATTTGTAATTGTAAACTTTCAGAGGTTTTCCACACCACTTCAACGAGAGCACAATGTTTAATGGAGGAAAGCAAGCCATCAAGCTGAAAAATGAATTCCGCCAGCATTTCAGGAACATTTCCAGAATAATGGACTGCGTTGGTTGTGAAAAGTGCAAATTATGGGGCAAACTCCAGGTAAACCTTTAAATCAAAACTTTTCCTTTTAAATATCAAAACTAAATTTATGTTCATAATTCAGATTCAAGGGTTGGGCACGGCTTTGAAAATCCTGTTCTCCGGTCGCTTTGACCTGGTCTTGAAAAACATGGATATCACCAAGGTCAGCAGGAATGAATTCCAACTGCACAGGATGGAAATTGTGGCGCTATTCAATGCGTTTGGTCGATTGTCAACAAGCATCTTTGAGCTGGAGAACTTCCGCAAGCTGATGAGATAAAATTTGACAGGGGCGTAAATAAGGTGGGTGGAAACTACTCAAAGTAGACTGTTGAAATCGTTTATTTTAATTACGCCCCTGACAATTGGCTATCAGTTTTCAAAACGAAATTTGTGATTGTTAATCTGGATTCCTTTTAGCTTATATGAAATTTATTCCAATCTCGATTGAATATTGAATTTCACTTAGGGTAATGCTGGCCAGAATGATAATTTAAGAGCAATTTTCAAGCTCATACTTAAGAAGATTTGCCCGCGCGAAGCGTAATTTTAAGATTAATACGTCTTGGTCAATAATGTAAGTTGTCCTGACACTCGTCAATTTCCTTAACGTTGGACTCAGATTATCTATAATTATAAGTGTGTACAAAGTCAGTGTTTTTATTAATATTGTGCACCAGCAAGCTGGACTTGGAAGATAAGCAGTCAATCTGCACGGCTTATCAAATAAGAGGGGGTTGTGTGAAAACCCAAAAAAGGAAGGTAGAAAAATGAAAACTGAAACAACTAAAATGCATCACACCTTTTTATTGTCTGTATACTATCTACAAGAGTGCGAATATAATTTATAACTTTTGTTTTTGTTGAATAAATTATTTAGTTTATCACTATTACAACTGAAATTTACCTTCACAATATTCCAGTTTTAAAGAGCGAAAAAATTATTTGGATTTATTTTTAACCTTTTTGTCGGTTTGCAAATTTTCATTACTGCCGTTCTTGTTAGCAAGCAAATCGATGGAAGATTTTTTCTTCCGTTTTATCTTATTGGGTGGTGGAAACATGGCTCTAGTTGTCTTCTTAGCTCTGGCCATCACTCGCTGCTGATAAAGCACCTCTAGTAGAACTATAAAGAACGCCATTCCTAGTCCGCCGAAAGTGAAAATAAAAATTCCGCCTAAATTTGAAAATAGCGAGGCTTAAGGTGTGACGACGAAAATAAAAATGAATTTTTACCAATGCTCTCCAAAGAAATGCCTTCAGTTTTAGTGTCACCATCGCAATTTGCTCTCAAGCTTTGATTCCAATGCTTGGCCAAAAGTTCTTCAAGATAGCGATCTCGTTGAAGTATAAGAAGTCTAAATTTTGAAAGTGAGGATATTATAAAATAAATTATAGCTTCCACTAGCTGGTTTAAAAATATAATAAAGCTCAAAATTTGGTTAAAACGTTTTCAAATTTTTGAACTTCCGTAAAAAAAAATGAAATTAATATTTATATTAATTTCAGATGTTATATGAATTATAAATAACAATATTTAACAAACTTTTCAGTCAAGGATTTTGCTAAGTCGTCAGCGCCTGATTGCGTTGCAAAAGCCACTGGTTGCTCCCCGAAAATGTCTCCTATTTCTGTTAGTCTGCAATCTTGCAAAACTTCATATTTGATCCACGGCGAGTCATGAATGAAAGCAAATGAGCCGTCGGGCTTTGCCAAAACCTTGTTCAACCTTCTTATTGAAAGGCCGAAAGAACAATAAAAAAAACTTACTCTCCTGATTCCCTCAGCAGGCGTATCAAGTAATCCGGCAGCTCCGTTTCGGTTCAACTGCTCCCAAACGATTTTGTACATTTCCCGTATAGGGTAGTTCCACGTTCGATAAGTATTCACATCGGTACCTGTCGCCGCCTCAACTTTATCCACCCACTGCCTTAAAAGCAAACACAGCACTTAGTAACACTTAGTTTTATTCAAAATTTTCACCCTACTTGTATAAAAGATCCTCGGCATTTCTCATATTATCAAAGTATCTGTACGCTCGTCCGCCTTTCTGCACTGCGTAAGCCACGCGTGTTTGTCTGGCCATTGACTCAAGAGAATCTAGTGTGTTTTGGGCCCTTTCGACCGTCAGAAAGGCGGCCAAGTTTGAGGTGAACGTGGCCAGCATCAGCACAACAAAAATCCAATAGCCAAAAATCACCACTCTGACGCTCAAAGGCTGAAAATATACGTTTTGCGCCTTATTTTCAGGGGAAAAAGTTGTTAAGTAATCATTTTTAAGCGTTAATAATTTTATCTTAATTCGCTTTTTCTCTTGATATTTTTTATAGTGGTTTTTTTATAGAAATAAATAATTAACTAAAAAAGCATCACGGAAAAACCAAATTTAAATGCAAACAACTATTAATAAAAAAGAACTATCATTCAATTGTTGTTTATTTATCCACATTATACTGCGAACTTGCATATTCAGTCCCTGAAAGTGCGCTGTAGTTCTTTTTAAATAATTTCTGTTTGAACCATGAATCAACCTTGAATTCAGTTTTATTCAATTAAATAATCATTAGATTATATATATGGAAAAAACTTGACAAACCCTAGGACATTCGCCACCACCTTGGGGTGTGAAAGACGTGGATGCAAACCACACGCTCTCGTAAAAATTAAAAACTCTGAAATTTAATTAATTACTTGGAGAAATTTCTTGTTTTAATTTTTAACAACCTGCAGGGGAACGGATATCGTGCGGGGTCGTTCCTATAGCTGAAGGGTGAAAATACTTCAAACAAGTAGATCACCACGCTCATTGCGCCCAAAACACCAAACGTACTGATCCAAACTGCTGGTGATAATACGGTCGCGAATTTGAACAGCGATTTGGAAATCTGTGGAATCATGGTTGCTAAAAATTTTCAAATTTTAATTTCAAATAATGGGATATAAAAAGCAATCAAACCTATTGAGAGGCCTATTCGCTCAAAATACGGCTCGACAAAATTAACCACGTCGTCCAGTTCACTTGTGACCACAAATGGAGCGGCCACGATGTCAACGTCCTACAAATTATAAATTTAATTTAATTAAATACCCTTTTTTTAAATTCCTACTCCTTTAATAACTTGTCCAATGACTCCGTTGAAGCTCCCGTCCGATTGCTTCGAACCATACTCATTTATGCGGATCACGTTGAAGCTGATCTTCATCATATCTGCCATTTTTTGCATTAGATCTACACAGTACCCTAACCAAACATTTCCGTCTCTGTATGACCAAGGTTCATCCTTTAATTTTTTACTCGAGTAAGATTTCGTGGTTAGAAGTATGCAACTTGTTTAGCAATGGTGCTTTGCAGGTTGCTTTTTTTAATAGTGAATAAAAATATTCAACTTACGTCCGCATAGGCTACAACGTAAATTTTTTTGGGCGTCTCGGCACTTGGGCCAGGAGGCGCCACTACTTGATTCAAATGGGTCTGCAGTCCGTAATTGTTTTTATTAGCCTGTCGTTTTGATCGTCGGCTGTTATTGGTCTCATTAAGGGGAACTTTCTTGACCATCACCACTTCCAAAACAGTTTGGTAGCCCAGAATTTTTTTGTCCCAATCATATTCCAGAGCTTGATGCTTTGGAAGAATCTACAGAAAGATTTTAATTAATATTATTTTTATTTTAACTAAAAAAATATCAACGTCTAGAATCAAATTGTGGAATTTGGTGTGGAGAATGACGGCTTCCTCCTCCAAATTTTGATCCATCGTTAATTGACAGTAGTCCAACGAACGTCTTTTCCGTCGAATGACCGACAAATCTTTTCGCACCATGTCTAAAAACAGGTCGGCTACTCGCGACAAAACCAGCGGCATGATCTGCATTGAATGAATTGAAATTTTTATATGCTCGCGTGCGTCGTCGTGATAAAATCTTGAAAATTATAACACGCGGTGCAAACATTTTCATTTCAATTGTGCGTCGGCGGCCACTTGCATGCGGCGGTCAATAATGAGGAGAGTGAGTGGCGTTTTCACAGCAAAAGGTGCAATAATTTATGCACGCGTAATGAGTAGGCAAACATATTTGTGCGCCGTCTGTGGATAAACAAAATAATAATGACTAGATGGAGGGCCTCGCACTTTCGTCTGTCCGTCAAATAACTGCTCCCATTGTGGAATGGGGGACCGAAATCACAGACAATAAGGTTTGAAAAGCTGAACAAAAATTGTAGCAAGTTATAAAAATTTTATATTGTTACTTATTCTATTTTCTATATTAAAATTATATAAAATAAATTGTTTTTATATGTTTTTTTTTATATATATTTTTTAATGTAAATGGATGGTAAAAAAAGTTTTACGTTGATGTTTATTACAATGATGTCATTTAAATATATTTATTAGAATTAATTTCTCTATGGTTCACCCTACTTTCAGAATTGCAGCAGGACCAATTTCTTATAATTTTTTATTTAAAAAAATGGTCCTTCTGCAGTTCATTAAAATATCATTCCAACTTATTAGCTCCCATTATTGAAAGTATATCATTTATACATTTAGCGAGCAAAATTAATTTACTTTTATTATTTAAATATAATATCAATAAATATCAAAGATTTAATTGAAAAAAAAAACAACTCTTTTGTGCACAATTTAAATTAAAAATTTTAAATGGCAGCGTGGTTGCGATTTTAAATTTCTAACATTTTCCTGTTTTGTGTTTTTAAAGTCTGAAGCTTTATAAGCTCTTAACTTCAAATCCGGTCTCTTTTTCACAAACCTTCGTAGTCCAACCATAAGGACAGTGGTGGTTCAAACAAATCAATGCGCAAACGGGTTATGTCCACAGCTCGCACCACCCCGAGAGGGTGCGTGATTTTCTTTTCCTCCCTTTCGAGAGAGCGGCTGAGAAAATAGTCTGCGTTTTGAGATGGACAACAGCAGCGGTTTCGAGAGCTCGCTGTCCAGTTTCGACTTTTTTCTATCAGAGTTGGACGCCTGCTCGGACGTCGCGCCCGCCAAAGACCCTTTTCGTCCGGAGAACAAAATCCCCCTGCCGGACTGCGACCTTTTGGGACCGGTGGACACGTTCGGCTTGTGCGAGTTGTACTCGGGGGTGCGGCGAAGGAACGAAAGGGAGCGCCAAAGGGTGCGGAGTGTCAACGAGGGCTTCGAGAAACTGCGGAGCATGCTGCCGAGTGACCAGTTTCTCGAAGTCACCAGCCAGAAAAGACTCAGCAAGGTGGACGTGCTCAAAGCGGCCATTCAATACATCAAACACTTGCAAAGTCAACTCGATTGAAAATTGAACATATTAAAGTGAGTAGATAAAAACGAAGAAATTGTGAATATTAAAATAAGAAAAAAAAAAATTTTTTTATATTGCAATCAAATAAATATTTTGGCAAAAAAATAGCCTTGCATATTTATGGGATTATATTAATTCGTAATAATTTAGGATTGACTCACTTTGGTTTTAGAGGAACAGTCGCAGTTAAAATTTGACCGCTCGCTCATTAACGGGCAGCACATTTGCGCCATGGACGGTTTGATCAGGGTAACAGCCCCGTCTGGAAGGTTCAGCCCCAGGGTTGCCAAGTCCGTTTTGGCATCACTCATTTCAAAGTCCAGCAAGCACACGATGACGTTCTCAGGCGCAACTGATTTTAATTCAATCACCTGTTCTTAACATGAGTTTGTATAAATAAAAAGTTAATTAGCACAACTTATAATTTTAAAATTAAAAGAAAAAAAATGATTAAATCACTTTCCTGGTTATAAATTTCTGTCACTTTGTTAGAATCGTGGAAAATTACAATGACATTGTCTGAGTCCAAACTGCTCTTCATGAAGCTTTTGCTGTCTTCATTCAAACCAACAAAATAAAGCACCTCTAAATTATACTCGTCACCCAGAGCATACTCTGCTGATATCATATCTAAAAAATATAATTTTATTTAAAACAATTATTATTAAGGAAATCGCAGTACCAATTTCCGTCTGGAAAATAAAAGCTGCCTTTTGAGTTTTGAGTGACTGGACGTATTCAATAACAGTCAAAAAGAAAGGGCCGTTTGTGAGCTCCACCTGAAGGTAAGGTGTGCCAGTATAAGATGTCAATTCTTTTATTTTCGGCCAGCCACCGAGAGTAAAATCAAAAATTGCGTTGAATGGAGTAATCAGGGTTTGGCAGGCTGGAAAATGGAAAATCGATGATAAAAATGAGGATAATTTATTATATCATTAATTTTTGCACTTAACCTTTGCGAAAAGATCCCTCCGGGACTCTGGCATCGTATATAATTGACCTCAAAATTAAATCGTGCTTGTCTGTGTTAAAAAATTGCAAATCTCGCAGTTTGCTTTCAAAATCTTGCGGAATCACTTGCTGCGTTTTGTCAATGAGCATTACTGTAGAGAAAAAATGTTAATTATAAACATAATTCAAAGTACAAAAGAATACTAAAAACTTACAGTACGTGACTGGCGCTCCCAAATCATATCCTTCAACGGCAAGAAGAACTCCAAAGAAAATCACAAGATTGAAAACTCGCATTTTTTCTTGTCTCTTGTTTGTTTCACATTACAAAATTTTCCGCTTACACAAAGGGGGTGAAAGTGGAAATGAAACTGAAATGTAATAAGCCGCACGAAATGACACACAAATAAAGAATATGGATCGGCCAAAACTTGTTGCGTGGGCACAAATGTTCTCCATTGAAACGCGTTGAAGATATGATCGGCTGCTCTGCGTATAATTACTGTAAAAATCGAAACTCTGAAACACTTTCTGTATATTAGGTTCTTGAAGTTGTTGTTGTGGAACCTTTTGGCACCCGCGGTGGTCATATTTGTTGAAATAAAATCCGGCTTCCTCGGTCCTCGTCGGTGGAGATGAGCAACTTAATTGTTTCTGCATGGTACAGTTTATCCCTGCTCTACTAGTTTCGGTTGCAACCCTAATTCACGAGTAGCTGTTGAAATGAAATTCAACCAATTTTAATTACATTTTGAAAAATTAACATGCAAATTATATTCAAAATATTTTTAAAATTAAATTACAATATTTTTGTTCTTAATTTTAAAATACAGAAAATTGGAATTAATTTAATTTTGAGCAAAGATCGCGCACCCCTTCCCGCCACTTCGAAAGGCCGCCGCTATAAGTTCCATTCACGCAATGTATAAGCGCTCGCCTCTGATTGGGTGCTATTTCCCCCTCCACCGATTCAAACGTGGGATGCGCGAAGCTTGATTTTGAGAATAAAATTTCCAAGCAAATTCAACAAAACTGACATAATTGTGAAATGTGTGAAAAAGTGCTTACCTCTTTTCTCGTCGGAAGACGAAACGAAACTGATTTGGGGATTTAAAAATGGAATGGTTTGCTTTATTATTCAGGGGGAGGAGGGTGAAATTTCTACCTGGCTTGCATGTTTTATTTTCGCGTTCGGAGGTTATATACCTGGGCGCGCGCGTTGGTGGCGGCGGCGTGTGCGTTCATTGATGGTGCATTATTGGTTTTATTGCACCCGGCGTGCGCGTCGTTCAACTGGTTTCATTTCATGCAGGGGCATGGGGTATGGTTTGTATTCGATTTTTTTAATTTTGAAATTTTAAAACGTTTTATTTTTGTCAGAAGGAACCGGTGGTTTGCTAAAACTTCCGTTTTCGCGGGGGTCGATTTTGAGGGAGATAGGCAAAGTTTCGGCGATTGTAGGGCAATTTGAAAATTCAAGAATTTCCCCCTATTTTGACCGCCGGTTGGAGAAACGGGCTCAACAACGGGCTATACATAAAAAACCGTAAAAAACATCCTTGGTTGGTCCCCTACCGATGGCGGCGCTGTGGGCGTCACTGATTAAACTAAGGATCTTTGGATGAATGAAACCGATGAAACTAAAAGGAGGGCGAAACTGATGCTTACCAATATTCTATCTCGATCCTACAGCCCCACACGATTTCGGCAGCCGATTTAATTGCATAAATATGTATCAAATAAGTTAGATAAACCTACTGTTGTTTGCGCAAAACTCAACAATACGAGCAAGTTCTCGTCGGAGCCGTAGGAGGGCGGGGCTCCGTGATGACTGGTGATGACGTAGCGAAACAGCCGCAAATCGAAACAAACAATAAAAATAAATTTTTTGCTGCTTCCCCTCCTTATTTCCGCCCCCCACCAAAGTTCGTTGCTCCAACGACAACGACACTCTTCAACTACCTTGAACGAGATTTTTCAAAAGATCCTTCGTTTCACCCGGTTTCACCGATTCCGTTTCATTCGTTAATCACTGCAGCGATAACGTTTCTCGTTTATTCGTCGGTCAGTGGATAGTGGATTCGGGCTGTCCGCTGTCGTCTTATTCAAATAATAGGTTTTTTAACCGTCAGAGCTTTCTACAGATCGAATTCGCTGTCCTTCGCGAGAGCTGGGTGGAAAATAAGGGTGTTCGAAAGTTTAATCGAAGAACTAAAAACCTTTCTTTGCCTTCAACAAAATGCAGGACGATCAGTTTCACGAAGCAGTTGATGCTGACAAAATGTAAGAAAATATTCCTTATAACGCATTGCCATTTTCGGACCAAAATTTTTCAACCGCGAATTTTTTTAAGGATATTTATACATGGCACGAAACACGTTGGAGATCGAGTGAGATTCCTTTAGAAATAAATAGAAAACATAAATCTCGAGAATTTTTTTAATTCAGAATCGCTTGTCGCATCTTATGCGAATTTTCACTTAAACACCGTCTGAAAAAAATCGGCCCACATTAAGGGTTAAAACTAAATTTCAAAATAAATTGCTAATTGCTACACAATAACCCTGAAAATAAATTTTGAGGGTATATGGACGTTCAAAAATTAGCCATGCATACACATACCATAAAACTCTTATTGAGAAAATTGCTGTAGCTTATATCCTTATTGGAAAAAGAAAAGGGTTCCTTTTTTAACAATAAAAAAATTAACAATCAATCTCTTCTTTTTAGGTCCGTAGAATTTAAATGTCTCTGCCAAAAGCCACAGTTCATAGGCTATGTAGGACATGCCCATTTCCGAGCCACCAAAAATGGTAAAAAAGGCCATAAAAATGAACACAAATCCCTGCCAGGAATTAAATTCCCGCATCGTTGGTTCTTGGGCGTAGTTTGTCCATATTGCAAACAAACAGTTAAGGCCATCAGCATTCCCTCGCACATTCAAGTGTGCATGACAGACACCAGCCACTTGACGATGGACGTACCGTTGTGTTGATGTAATTAATCATAATCTAAAATAAAATAAATTTTTTAAACTTTTGCAATTTAATTTAGCGTAAACGTGTACGATGAAAAAACTGGGCTGGCCGTCACTGATTACGACGGAACCACATACACAAGGAATTTGGTAGAAGACACAGCGGAACAATCTTCTGACACCAGCGATGACGACAACGTGAGTGGTAGCACAATATCAATCATTTTATTTTACCCTTTTTTAATTGCACAAATTTTTATTTGTTTCTTATACACTGTTGTCAGGATGTCTTGAATGCTCAAGAGGAGCAGCACGAGGACGAGACCGTTTCTGGTACTGACGATGCTTTTGGTGGCGAAGGAAACCCTGAAGAGCAACCTCAAGAAAAGGAAGAAAAGCCACAAGAAGAACAGCGCAATGAGAGCTTGTTTGGTGGTGAGGAGCATTCTGAAGACCACGAGATTGAAATTCCATTGGCTCAGGATGCAGGTCTGGTGAACTGCAGTGATAAGAAGAACCAATTGCTTGTCGCCAGTGAAGACGTAAGTATTAGCACAATATCAATCATTTTGTTTTACCCTTTTTTAATTGCACAAATTTTTATTTGTTTCTTTTACACTGTTGTCAGGATGTCTTGAATGCTCAAGAGGAGCAGCACGAGACCAGCATTTCTGATACTGATGATGCTTTTGGTGGCGAAGGAAACCCTGAAGAGCAACCTCAAGAAGAGGAAGAAAAGCCACAAAAAGAACAGTGCGATGAGTGCTTGTTTGGTGGTGAGGAGCATTCTGAAGACCACGAGATTGAAATTCCATTGGCTCAGGATGCAGGTCTGGTGAACTGCAGAGATAAGAAGAACCAATTGCTTGTCGCCAGTGAAGACGTAAGTATTAGCACAATATCAATCATTTTATTTTACCCTTTTTTAATTGCACAAATTTTTATTTGTTTTTTATACACTGTTGTCAGGATGTCTTGAATGCTCAAGAGGAGCAGCACGAGGACGAGACCATTTCTGGTACTGACGATGCTTTTGGTGGCGAAGGAAACCCTGAAGAGCAACCTCAAGAAGAGGAAGAAAAGCCACAAAAAGAACAGCGCGATGAGTGCTTGTTTGGTGGTGAGGAGCATTCTGAAGACCAAGAGATTGAAATTCCATTGGCTCAGGATGCAGGTCTGGTGAACTGCAGTGATAAGAAGAACCAATTGCTTGTCGCCAGTGAAGACGTAAGTATTAGCACAATATCAATCATTTTATTTTAACCTTTTTTAATTGCACAAATTTTTATTTGTTTTTTATATACTGTTGTCAGGATGACTTGAATGCTCAAGAGGAGCAGCACGAGACCAGCATTTCTGATACTGATGATGCTTTTGGTGGCGAAGGAAACCCTGAAGAGCAACCTCAAGAAGAGGAAGAAAAGCTACAAAAAGAACAGCGCGATGAGTGCTTGTTTGGTGGTGAGGAGCACTCTGAAGACCAAGAGATTGAAATTCCATTGGCTCAGGATGCAGGTCTGGTGAACTGCAGTGATAAGAAGAACCAATTGCTTGTCGCCAGTGAAGACGTAAGTATTAGCACAATATCAATCATTTTATTTTACCCTTTTTTAATTGCACAAATTTTTATTTGTTTTTTATACACTGTTGTCAGGATGACTTGAATGCTCAAGAGGAGCAGCACGAGACCAGCATTTCTGATACTGATGATACTTTTGGTGGCGAAGGAAACCCTGAAGAGCAACCTCAAGAAGAGGAAGAAAAGCCACAAAAAGAACAGCGCGATGAGTGCTTGTTTGGTGGTGAGGAGCATTCTGAAGACCACGAGATTGAAATTCCATTTGCTCAGGATGCAGGTCTGGTGAACTGCAGAGAGAAGAAGAACCAATTGCTTGTCGCCAGTGAAGACGTAAGTATTAGCACAATATCAATCATTTTATTTTACCCTTTTTTAATTGCACAAATTTTTATTTGTTTTTTATACACTGTTGTCAGGATGTCTTGAATGCTCAAGAGGAGCAGCACGAGGACGAGACCATTTCTGGTACTGACGATGCTTTTGGTGGCGAAGGAAACCCTGAAGAGCAACCTAAAGAAGAAAAGCCACAAAAAGAACAGCGCGATGAGTGCTTGTTTGGTGGTGAGGAGCATTCTGAAGACCAAGAGATTGAAATTCCATTGGCTCAGGATGCACGTCTGGTGAACTGCAGTGATAAGAAGAACACGACTGTTTCAGTCAAGCACTCATAATAATTAATTGAATCGTATTGCCAGCTCGTCATTTTAATCTGTGATTTAAAATGTAAATTGTCACAATTTTAAAGCAAAGAATTTGCTGATACCTTTGAAAAAAATATTTCGCTTTTTTTAAAATCTACCACTTTCAGCGTCTAAGAAATTTCAGCCCTCGACTATTTCACAAATACGCTCATAATAATTAATTGCACCGTATTGCCAGCTCGTGATTTTAATCCGTGATTTAAAATGTAAATTATCACAATTTTAAAGCAAAGATTTTGCTGATACCTTTGAAAAAAATATTTCGCTTTTTTTTAAATCTACCACTTTCAGCGGCTAAGAAATATCAGCCCTCGACTGTTTCAGTCAAGCACTCATAATAATTAATTGCAACGTATTGCCAGCTCGTGATTTTAATCTGTGATTTAAAATGTAAATTTTCACAATTTTAAAGCAAAGATTTTGCTGATACCTTTGGAAAAAATATTTCGCTTTTTTTTAAATCTACCACTTTCAGCGGCTAAGAAATATCAGCCCTCGACTGTTTCAGTCAAGCACTCATAATAATTAATTGCAACGTATTGCCAGCTCGTGATTTTAATCTGTGATTTAAAATGTAAATTGTCAAAAATTTCAAGCAAAGATTTTACTGATACCTTTGAAAAAAATATTTCGCTTTTTTTTAAATCTACCACTTTCAGCGTCTAAGAAATATCAGCCCACGACTGTTTCAGTCAAACACTCATAATAATTAATTGCCACGTATTGCCAGCTTCTGATTTTTCTCTGGGATTTGAAATGTAAATTATCACAATTTTAAAGCAAAGATTTTGCTGATACCTTTGAAAAAAATACTACGCATTTTTTAAAATCTACCACTTTCAGCGTCTAAGAAATATAAGCCCGCGACTGTTTCAGTCAAACACTCAAAATAATTAATTGCAACGTATTGCCAGCTCCTGATTTTAAACTGTGAATTAAAATGTAAATTGTCAATATTTTAAATCAAAGATTTTGCTGATACCTTTGAAAAAAATATTTCGCTTTTTTTTAAATCTACCACTTTCAGCGTCTAAGAAATATCAGCCCTCGACTATTTCACTCATACGCTCATAATAATTAATTGCACCGTATTGCCAGCTCGTGATTTTAATCCGTTATTTAAAAAATAAATTGTCTCAATTTTAAAGCAAAGATTTTACTGATACCTTTGAAAAAAATATTTCGCTTTTTTTAAAATCTACCACTTTCAGCGTCTAAGAAATATCAGCCCACGACTGTTTCAGTCAAGCACTCATAATAATTAATTGCATCGTATTGCCAGCAATGCCAGCTCGTGATTTTAATCTGTGATTTAAAATGTAAATTGTCACAATTTTAAAGCAAAAATTTTGCTGATACCTTTGAAAAAAATATTTCGCTTTTTTTAAAATCTACCACTTTCAGCGTCTAAGAAATATCAGCCCTCGACTGTTTCAGTCAAGCACTCATAATAATTAATTGCAACGTATTGCCAGCTCGTGATTTTAATCTGTGATTTAAAATGTAAATTGTCACAATTTTAAAGCAAAGATTTTGCTGATACCTTTGAAAAAAATATTTCGCTTTTTTTAAAATCTACCACTTTCAGCGTCTAAGAAATTTCAGCCCTCGACTATTTCACTAATACGCTCATAATAATTAATTGCACCGTATTGCAAGCTCGTGATTTTAATCCGTGATTTAAAATGTAAATTGTCACAATTTTAAAGCAAAGATTTTGCTGATACCTTTGAAAAAATATTACGCATTTTTTAAAATCTACCACTTTCAGCGTCTAAGAAATATCAGCCCTCGACTATTTCACTCATACGCTCATAATAATTAATTGCACCGTATTGCCAGCTCGTGATTTTAATCTGTGATTTAAAATGTAAATTATCACAATTTTAAAGCAAAGATTTTGCTGATACCTTTGAAAAAAATATTTCGCTTTTTTTAAAATCTACCACTTTCAGCGTCTAAGAAATTTCAGCCCTCGACTATTTCACTAATACGCTCATAATAATTAATTGCACCGTATTGCCAGCTCGTGATTTTAATCCATGATTTAAAATGTAAATTGTCACAATTTTAAAGCAAAGATTTTGCTGATACCTTTGAAAAAAATATTACGCATTTTTTAAAATCTACCACTTTCAGCGTCTAAGAAATATCATCCCGCGACTGTTTCAGTCAAACACTCTTAATTATTAATTGCAACGTATTGCCAGCTCGTGATTTTAATCTGTGATTTAAAATGTAAATATTCACAATTTTCAAGCAAAGATTTTACTGATACCTTTGAAAAAAATATTTCGCTTATTTTAAAATCTACCACTTTCAGCGTCTAAGAAATATCAGCCAACGACTATTTCACTCATACGCTCATAATAATTAATTGTACCGTATTGCCAGCTCGTCATTTTAATCTGTGATTTAAAATGTAAATTATCACAATTTTAAAGCAAAGATTTTGCTGATAACTTTGAAAAAAATATTTCGCTTTTTTTTAAATCTACCACTTTCAGCGTCTAATAAATATCAGCCCTCGACTGTTTCAGTCAAGCACTCATAATAATTAATTGCATCGTATTGCCAGCTCGTGATTTTAATCTGTGATTTAAAATGTAAATTGTCACAATTTTAAAGCAAAGATTTTGCTGATACCTTTGGAAAAATTATTTCGCTTTTTTTTAAATCTACCACTTTCAGCGGCTAAGAAATATCAGCCCTCGACTGTTTCAGTCAAGCACTCATAATAATTAATTGCAACGTATTGCCAGCTCGTGATTTTAATCTGTGATTTAAAATGTAAATTGTCAAAAATTTCAAGCAAAGATTTTACTTATACCTTTGAAAAAATTATTTCGCTTTTTTTTAAATCTACCACTTTCAGCGTCTAAGAAATATCAGCCCACGACTATTTCACTAATACGCTCATAATAATTAATTGAATCGTATTGCCAGCTCGTCATTTTATTCTGTGATTTGAAATGTAAATTGTCACAATTTTAAAGCAAAGATTTTACTGATACCTTTGAAAAAAATATTTCGCATTTTTTAAAATCTACCACTTTCAGCGTCTAAGAAATATCAGCCCTCGACTATTTCACTCATACCATCATAATAATTAATTGCACCGTATTGCCAGCTCGTGATTCTAATCCGTGATTTAAAATGTAAATTGTCAGAATTTTAAAGCAAAGATTTTACTGATACCTTTGAAAAAAATATTTCGCTTTTTTTTAAATCTACCACTTTCAGCGTCTAAGATATATCAGCCCGCGACTGTTTCAGTCAAACACTCATAATTATTAATTGCAACGTATTGCCAGCTCGTGATTTCAATCTGTGATTTAAAATGTAAATATTCACAATTTTCAAGCAAAGATTTTACTGGTACCTTTGAAAAAAATATTTCGCTTTTTTTTAAATCTACCACTTTCAGCGTCTTAGAAATATCAGCCCTCGACTATTTCACTCATACGCTCATAATAATTAATTGCACCGTATTGCCAGCTCGTGATTTTAATCTGTGATTTAAAATGTAAATTATCACAATTTTAAAGCAAAGATTTTGCTGATAACTTTGAAAAAAATATTTCGCTTTTTTTTAAATCTACCACTTTCAGCGTCTAAGAAATATCAGCCCACGACTGTTTCAGTCAAGCACTCATATTAATTAATTGAATCGTATTGCCAGCTCGTCATTTTATTCTGTGATTTGAAATGTAAATTGTCACAATTTTAAAGCAAAGATTTTACTGATACCTTTGAAAAAAATATTTCGCATTTTTTAAAATCTACCACTTTCAGCGTCTAAGAAATATCAGCCCTCGACTATTTCACTCATACGCTCATAATAATTAATTGCACCGTATTGCCAGCTCGAGATTCTAATCCGTGATTTAAAATGTAAATTGTCAGAATTTTAAAGCAAAGATTTTACTGATACCTTTGAAAAAAATATTTCGCTTTTTTTTAAATCTACCACTTTCAGCGTCTAAGAAATATCAGCCCGCGACTGTTTCAGTCAAACACTCATAATAATTAATTGCACCGTATTGCCAGCTCGTGATTTTTATCTGTGATTTAAAATGTAAATTATCACAATTTTAAAGCAAAGATTTTACTGATACCTTTGAAAAATATATTTCGCATTTTTTAAAATCTACCACTTTCAGCGTCTAAGAAATATCAGCCCGCGACTGTTTCAGTCAAACGCTCATAATAATTAATTGCACGGTATTGCCAGCTTCTGATTTTTCTCTGGGATTTGAAATGTAAATTATCACAATTTTAATGCTAAGATTTTACTGATACCTTTGAGAAAAATATTTCGCAATTTTTAAATTCTACCACTTTCAGCGTCTAAGAAATATCAGCCTGCGACTGTTTCAGTCATTTGCTCATTATAATCAGTAGCACCAGATCGCCAGCTTGGGATTTTTATCTGGGATTTCTTCAATCATTATTCTTATTACAATGACGGGTTTTTATAAAAATCAAAAATTATCCAAAAAAATAAAAATTAAACACACACGTGCTATTAAAAAATTGAACGGTGGGATGAGTTGGGATAAAAACATGATAGAAATTTATCTTAAAATCTGTGCTACTATGAAAAAACTGGCTGATTTAACATCAAAGAAACAAAAATTTTAGTAATTTTTCGTAACATTTAATCTCCCTTTACGCTTTGTACTCTTTCTTTAAAATTGCGCAAAGATCGGGTGATGACCGAGGGTTTAGGAAAGGCTATAGACCTTAAATCTTGCTACACAAGCCTAACCTTGGCCCTCAAGAGACTTCACATCTCGGCCGAAGGTGGGGACCTACGGTAGGTGCTTAGGAAAGGAAACGCATGAAAGGTGAGAGAGAGTTTGTTTGGCTGCTGCGCGTGGAGCGAGCGGCATTTCTCCGCGAGAGCTCTCCGCCCGATGATGCCTTCTTTCTACCTGCAGCACCTGGTGCCAACCTGACTTTTGGATATACACGCGAAAAGTCAGGTCGATTAGACCTACTCAGCCGCAAGGTATGTCGATTTCAGGTTTTGCTCAGACGACGTCGAAATGTGTGAGAATCAGAGAAAGAGAAAAATTGATCTCATTTTTTTATTGAAAAAATAATATCCATTCTTACTTATTTTTTTAATTGTCCCTGAAATAAATTATTTTAAGCATAAAAGATTACATAATGCAGATATTAAAAAAATAAATTTAATATACCTCCGCATTAGGAATTTATTTTAATTTGTTTATGTGTAAAATAATTTATTGAATTTTTTTTTACCTAATTCCAAGGGAAATGAGTAAAAAAAAATTGTTTATTACAATTTATTATAAAAAAAATTATCAACATTATTTTCTTTTAAAAAGTGTCGCTATAGCTGCGGTTTGGAAATTTTTCACAGTAGAGATGAGATCATTGATATCCCACATAATGTTTTTTGACAGTAATTACGATTCCATTCTAGGAATTTGCACTTTCTTCTTTTCATCGCTCACTGGAAGTTTTTATATTTTCTAATGTGAATCGCAGCTGTCATTTTTTGCTCCTTTTTTGTGCACTTTGTATTAAAAAGGTGCTCTCGCGACTGTGTACAATGTACGTCTGCATGTACTTACGTGTAATGTAGACTCATTCGGTCGTGGCCCACATTTCACTTTCCGATGCTCTTCTAGCCATCTTCCGCTGCAAATTAAACAAAGTAAATAAAAAACTATTTAATTTAATCAAATTTTAACTAACTGAAAATATTATACAGTACGTGTATTATTTTTAATATTATTGTATTATTAAGCATATATTCATTTTTTTTCAGTCACATTATGATAATTTTTATTATTAGTTTTTTTTATTCTTCTTTTATATTTTATTTTGTTTGATAATATTTTGTATTATTCACATCTACAAAGTTGATGTATTACCAATTTCTTAACTTAGGTCTTAGGTTGTCTTTTATGGATCATGTGGGTCAGTTACAATAATAATAATTATAAGTTATTTATTATAAAAGATTGGAAAAGTATTTTAGAAAAATATTAGCAAATAGACGCGAATGTAGCACTACAGTGATAGATAGATGCATCATGCATCGACTCACTCGCGTGTAAAAGACTTGCGAGCGGAGCGCTCGCGTCCTCAATTTCTCTAATAAACAAAAAGGCCCAGTGAAAATCCACTTATCAAACCGGTCAGCTCTGCTCCATCCAGCAACCTTCCATGATTTTTCTATATCATTTTCACCTTCATTTATTCACAGTTTTTTTTCGCCGTATGAATTTTTTTAAGTGATTCAACTTTGATTTAATAATAAAAAATAAAAATTAAAATTGTCAGCTTGAGAAATTAAAAATTCAATGCCCAATCAATTTAAATAATTGTAGCGTTTAAAAGAAGTGCTGGAATAATTTTGGATTCAAGGGAGGCTTCGCTGGCAATAATTGCAGAGGAACAAGGTCGGCCCCGGCATTTTGATCGCGTTGCATTGTTCGCAAATTGATAACCTGCAACAAAATGTCATGCAATAACGATTCCGGAGAGCAACTCACCGACGAGTCAAAGTGAAAGTTTTGGCCGCGCCAAGGAGTTTTGTTTTATATTCGGACGCGCACTGCATATCTTGAGCACACTTTTATTTTTATTAATCTAATAAAAAAATCTACTATTGATCTCTTCTTTATGAATAATAAAGAGCTTCTTATCGCAAGAAAATAATTTACTTGATAGTCAAGTAATTCAAAAAAATATTTGCAAAAAATTACAAAATGTAAACCTGCTACGCTACTCCAGTCACGCATTCTTTGTTTTGGCACACAATGAAATCTCTTGCGGTTGTATAAGATGTTTAATTTTACCAAAATAAGGAACTTGCGTAAAAATTCCTTCTATGCGCTCCGCTGAATATTTCCGCAACAAAAAAAAATGCTATTTCACATCTTAAAAAAATACGTGGTCCTTAAAATGCTGAAATATAATAATTTATTTTCATTTTTAATTATATTTTTAGATTTTTTTTTTAATCCCCCTTATTTTCTTTCAGTAAAATGACAACAGAAATCATGGAGGCGGCACCTGTGAGGGAACTGGCTGTTAGCGTCAGAGACGCATTCAAATTTTACGGGTCCAAGAAAAAGCCTGTCGTAGTTTTAAACCACCTGAACATGACTGTCCCGCGAGGATGCATGTAATTTTTATTTCAAAATTTTAAAAGAAAAAATATAAATTGAATTTTTAAATTTAGATACGGCTTGCTTGGTGCAAGTGGATGCGGAAAAACAACACTGCTCACCTGCATCGTGGGCAGACGGAAGTTGATGTCAGGCCAAATATTGGTACTCGGGGGCCGGCCAGGAACGCCAGGTAGCGGCGTGCCAGGACCGAAAGTTGGCTACATGCCACAGGTAGAAATTTTAATTTGTCGTAATCCCCTATTTATTCAAATAAAAAAACCACTTTCTTTTTCAATAACAATAAGGAAACTGCCCTGCTAAACGAATTCACTATAAGAAACACGATGAATTATTTTGGCAAAATTTACGGAATGACCAATGATGAAGTCGAAGACAGAATGCACCTGTTGTGCTGCATTTTGGAGTTGCCGCCCAAAGACACTCAAATTTTACATCTCAGGTAAAAAATTATTTTCGGCCTTAAAAAAATTCTGAAATATTTATTTCCAGTGGAGGTCAGAAAAGGAGAGTTTCTTTGGCAGCAGCTTTGCTCCATGACCCAGAGTTGCTAATTTTGGACGAGCCAACTGTTGGAGTTGATCCAGTTTTGCGCCATAGGTCAGTTTTATTTATTTTCTGAGTAATGGTCTGTGAATTTTAGGTTCTTTTTTCAGTATATGGGAATATTTGGTGGAAATAACACAAAAAGAAAACAAGGCTGTGATTATCACGACGCACTATATAGAGGAAGCGCGTCAAGCCAATAGAGTAAAGCATTTAAAATTTATGTGCAAAAATAAATATTTAAATCAATTTGAACTTTAAGATAGGTCTTATGAGGGAAGGCACATTGTTGGCGGAAGATGCGCCTGAAAACCTAATCCGGAAGCACAATTGCGAAACCCTGGAGGACGTTTTCCTGATGCTGAGCCGACGGCAGGAAGAACTGAAGGCGCTTGGAATCGAGCAGCATAAACCTGCCATCACGCAATCTCAGGATGCCAAACACAACGTTCATCTGCCTGTTGTTGAGATTCAGGTATAATTATTAAGACATTTAGCTGAATGAAATCTGAAGATGATTAATAACAAAATTTATAGGAACATATTCAGGAAGAAATGTTAAAAAGTAAAAAAATGAGGAAACTGAAACCAACGATTTTAGGAGCCCTCCAGTCACAGCTGATGATGACTGCCCTTAGATATTATAGAAATCCAGGGTAAGTCTTGTTTCATTTAAATTGTATTTTATAAAAACTCTAAATATCAATTTTCAATTAAAGTTTTGTTTTAAATAACAAATTCTGAACTTCATAGTTTATTCAAATTTTGAAGCTATTTTTTTAACACAATTTATGTATAGAGAAACTAAGTTTAAATTTTATTTTATTTCAATCCATGCAGATTATTTAATTTTAAAATGCATTGAAAAAGATTTTTTTTTTTAATTTTCTGAATTCTATAAAAATTGTATTTTTTAGATCTTTGTACTTCTTGATTATGTTCCCAATTCTACAATTACTCATCTTCGTCTACGCCGTCGGTCACGAGCCTCGCAGTTTACACTTGGCCGTTGTCAACGAGGAACTCAGCCTTGACAATGTGACCAAGTGTTTTGAGCTGGCAGAGCCTGGGTGCGACCCTCCCAATTTGAGTTGCCGCTTTTTGAATGAAATCAATCCAGAGCATATCATCCCAGTAAGATACTTCTTAAAATAATGTCCACCGCCGTTAATTATTGCTTTTTCTATTTTTTTTAGAAATTCTACGATACGTGGAATGACTCGTTGGAGGCCGTCAGGACAGGAAAAGTGTGGGGCGCCATGCACATTGGATCAAATTTCACCGAGGCGCTCAAGGAAAGGCGCGAGGTCTGGCAAGAGGTCAGCGACGAGTTAATTGAAGACAGCGAAATTGCCGTTTCATTAGATATGTCTGGTAAAAATGAAAATTAAAATTTTGAAAAATGTTTAATTTATTTAAAATTAGAACTGCCAGTGGCGCAATTTTTGAGTAAGGAGCTATTGGCGAGTTACAAACGCTTCTCCAAGCAGTATTTGAAGGACTGCAATATTTCAGTCAGACATGGAGAAACACCAATACAGGTATTTTGTATTTTGCGTAACAATAATCTTTAGTACCCTCATCAATTTTTGTATAACCTTATAGTTTCAAGAGCCAATTTTTGGCAGCAGCAGTCCAAACTTTACAGACTTCATGGCTTCTGGCTCAATTTTAACGTGAGATTATTTTATAAATTATTGAATATTTAATTAATGAAGTTAAAATTAGAATTGTCTACTTCATGAGCTTGGGCATCACCTGCGTAATTATGGTCACCGAAACGATGGAGGGCATTTGGGACCGGGCGTTGGTTGCTGGGGTGACTGAGCGCGAGGTGCTCATGTCCCACATTGTGACACAAACGATTCTGATGATCATCCAAGTCGTCATCGTCCTAACCCTGAGCTTGGCCATTCTCAAACTGGAAAATGAGGGTTCAATCCTTTTAATCACCATAATCTGCCTCATCATCGGCTGGTTCGGAGTGTTCATGGGTAATTAAAATTTAAAAAAAATATATATTTTAATAACGATTTCACACTGTAAATTATTTAATCTTTAAATTTTCTCAGGTGTTTTGATATCCATCTTCTGCAGCAACATAAACTCAGCCTCTTACTTCTCCCTGGGCAGTTTTGTCCCGGTTGTTTTTCTTTCGGGAATCGCGTGGCCCCTGGAGGGTATGCTTCCGGCTCTGCGGACGTATTCCGAGTTTTTGCCCATTACCAGAGCCACGACCACCTTGAGAGCCATCATGTCCAGAGGCTGGGGAATCGAGTACCCGGATGTTTACAATGGTTTCGCCTACTCCGCCATTTGGACAGTGATAGTCTCAATAATTTGCTTTATAGGAGTCAAATATAAGAAGTGTTAATTAAAAAATGGTCAGGGAAACTAATTTAAAAATTTTAATCTTGAAGTTCTGTTCAACTGCATTTTCAATCGAATGAGTAATTAACTGTAAAGTAATATAAAATATAAATTAATTAAACAAATATTTTTAATAAAAAATGTCTCTATGATTTCTTTTAATCCTTGATCAAATTAAGCATAAATAAATTTTAAGAGTTGGAACAAAAACTATTTCCTAATAAGAATAATTAATATATGTTTTTACATTTAAAACAAAGTTAAAAAGGGAAAATAAATCTCCTTTATCAAAATGTAATAAATTTAATTAAGAGATGTTACCCACTATTCTGTAAAAAAAAGCGCGTGCATATTTAATCTATTTAATATTATTTAAAGCAATAATAAGGACGAATTGTATTGTTTAAACTTTTTTTTTAAATACTATTTTTTAATGGCTGTAGAAAAAAATTGTAAAAATATAAAGACATCATATAATCGTATAATTATTTTTAATTTTGCTAGACAGTCAATACGCGTCACCTCGTTTGCACGCTTCTTTGCCGCCTCTATCAAGTCTATCATTGAATCAAACAACGCAGAAAGCGCCCCCTCAAGGCCTCCCTCCAAAACACAAACATCAACAACTCGTGCTTGATTGAGTTGTTGTTTTGCCGGCGAATCTTTAATTTTATAATTTCACTCGAAAGCTTAATAAATTCGCAATTACAACCAATCACTGATGATTAGCACGCTTTGATGAGAGATTGACCGGACGGAGAGAGAAATTTCGAACTTGTCGGCAATCTGGCAGCTCTCGAGCAGACCATGATAGCCGCCACTGATGTCCAGGTATGTATTTGCCAAGTTTTAAATCAATGTCAATTAGGAAGTATGCACTTGTTGTAGGATTGGCTGCCGCATGGACGCTCTCTGGAACATCCCGGACAGTTGGCGGGTGTCTCTGGCTCGGAAGAACCGCACGACCGCCTCATCGAACAGCTCAGCAACATCGACTTGTCAGATGCTGGAAAGGTTCTTTATTAAAATCTTTTGGCTTTGGAACTTAATTTTCATTTGTAAATTTCAGGAGTGGTGGTGCATTCGCTCTAGTCCAGATGTTGACGGTGCCGAGGAGGAGCTCTACATCAACGGCAGGACTGTGATTTGGAGCCAAGGCTCGCACTCCCGATGGATCACTCTTCGGTCCTTCACCTCTGAGTTTCCCGTCCAGCTCACTTGCTGGGCCACTTTCAGAGATTCCCCTTCTCTGCATCAACTCCCTCTAAAGAATGATCTTGGTAAGAAAAATTTACTCTCGTTGAAGATTTTAAATTTATATAATTAATTTATTTTTAAAGATTCGTTCATCAAGGCTATTTGCATCGTGGACACTCACAACATCAACGTCTTTACGACCGATGGCCGCGACTTTGTAACAAGTTCCCCTTTTCCCGTCTCGAAAATATGGCCCATGAAATCAGGGCTCATGCTCGAGATGGAGGCAGACATACCAGTTCACTCAGAGATTTCGGCTCTTCAGTACCCACTGGTGTTCAGCCTTCACCACCCTTATGATGACATAAAACCTGTCATGACCAAACAAGGATGTAATAATTTTTCACTTAGTTTTTTTTTTAATACCCATTTCAAGCACATTTTTTATAATTTCAGCTCGCATTGGTGCTGTTACGGATCCAGGACAAAGAATCGTTTTCACAAGTGAAGACCCGTCAATTTGCATGCTGTACGATTCCATCACTGGAACTCACAGTGTGTGGGCTATTAGGAATGCAACCCTCCAAGTAACATACTAATTTTATACATAAAGTTGGTCATTTCATATTTTATACTTCAGGAAAGTTTTACTCCAAGAGGAAATGAAGAAATCTCTTTGGCGGGTGAAAGTATTTTGAGTGGTCCTCTGCACGAGAGCCCCTTAGAAGTCATTGGTGCCTCTCCTATTCCGTCAGCACTTGCAGCGTCAAGTCCTATCTCAAGCAAAATAGATTTGTGAGTTTTTTTAACAAGGTAATGTGCAGTCTATCAATCAAATTATCATTTCAGGAGGAGATCTTCATTTATGGCTACGAGTCCAACACACCATTCAAATTTGAGTTCAAGGCGCCACACTGTTATTGGAGGATCTCCATTTCAACTAAAGTAGGGACATTTGTTATTGTAGTCAGTAAAAATTAGTAGCACAATTATTGCAAATCAATTTGATCAAAACAATTTGGAACTTTTTCAGTTAGATGAATTTAAAATGATTTCATTTTTTTTTTACTAGGGCAAGCCCTCTCCTCAATGCATCCAAGCGGTGTAGCCTGGCCGACAGTTTAGGAGGTGGTGGAGGCACCCCTTTTTCTGAAAGACGAGGGAGCATCGACTGCCGCTCCCCTCTGAATGTTGCTGCAGATGTTCCCGTCCAACCCCTCTACCCTGAAGTTTGCCTCGAATTTCTCTGGGCAGAGTCTCTCAAGTAAATTTTACTTCTTGAGTACATTAAAATTATTTTTTTATTATTTTTTCATTAGGGAAGCTAGCCGAAGTGGTGGTGCTTCAAAAGCGTTCCTGACGACGGACTTTGTTGGCCAGACTTACCTGTGTTACTTGGTGCCTGGAAAGCGAGAGCTTTTCCTCGTTAAACTGGAAGAGACCAATAGACAAGAGCAGTTGATTTTCTGCACGAGGACCAGTGTCCCAGCAAGAGATGCAGTTCCATTGACTGTATAATGACTATTTTCATTATATTAAGTATATTCAAATTTAATTTCTCACCAGGACTTGCCGATGATTGTTGTTCTTGAAGTCAGTGGTGGAATTACCTTATACTCTGGCCCAGACATGGTGTCTAAAATTTTTCTACCCAATTTGCTCCCTCCTCAAACGCCAATCCCGACAAGATCATTCCATTCGCTCATCACTTCTCCGTCAAGCTCGAGGATGTCCGAGAGCTCTTTCAAAATCAGGAGGAGTAGCTTGCAAGGCGAGATGACAATGGACGGTTCTTACTTTGCTGATGCATCCTGTGTGTTGTCCCCTGTTCCCAAACATCTGAGAATGGGATCGTGCATCACTTTGGAAGAGACTCATATCAGCATGGATGAAGTGCTGCGACTTAGAGATGAAACCAAAAAACGCATCACTTTGGTAAATTAATGGAGTTGTAGAAATTCTGATTTTTAATTTGAGAATTAAGGAATTCAATAATGGACATATGGTTAGGACAAGTCTACCAGAATTGTACACATCCTTGCTTGGTAGGAATTTTTAATATATTTTAATATCTTGCTTGACAATGTATTTCAGTAAGGAAATGTGTGCAAACTCTGAGGATAGCCTTGAAAAGAGAAAATGCCATCCTTCTACTTACAAAGTGGTACTGTGCCAGAAATGCACCAGGCTCCCAAGACATTTCGGCTGATACGGAATGGCAGCTATTCCTTGCAGCCCTCCTTGGTAAGTATTTTTGCTATTCAAATTATTATTGTGGTAGAATTTCACGATTGAGGGTTGATTCATGATGATTTGAATTTGAAGCCAGCTTTTCCTTGATGGGTTTTGTGAGTTCTTTATTGTTTAAAAAAAAAACAATATCCTGCTCTACATGTTTCGTCTTCTCTCGAGCACTGCCAAGAAAGCTCATGAATTATGACTGCAGCCCGCAGCCCTAACATGTGGAGCTGGATATTGTTTTTCTTAAACAATAAACTATTCACAAAACCCATCGAGGAAATAAAGCTGACTTTAAAATTCAAATCACCATAATATTATTATTATTATTCAAATCTGTTTTTTTTTCTAGGTCTGATGGGATATGAAGTTGAAAAGCTGAAAATAATAAAAAAGTACGACTCAAGTAGCGCACCGCAGGAAAAACGAAAGAGAAAATCCGAAGCAGGATCTAAAGAAGACTGGAGTTGGGTGGTTTTGAATCATCAGAAGGAGCTCTCTGACATGTGTTCTCTTTTACGAATTGATTGTCCTGAACTTTTCACTCAAGAAAAATCTGTTTCTGGTGGTCGAATCAACACTAATGCGCCGTTATTCAAAGTTTTTGAAACCATCCTTCAGTCCCTTCATCTGTTATATGAGGTAGATCAAAATGATGAAATAATTTAAGTTTTACAATTTTTATTTGTGCAGGAGATGAAGTTAGATGCTCTTTGCAAACCTGAGCTTCCACAATTGGCTCAGCTTCTGCATTTACTGGCCAGTGACTTGCAAATTCCTTTTTACATCGAACACTACTGGAGAGACTACCCTCATTTGTGTTGTCCTTATGAAAGTTCTGTGAGTTCTCCTTTGCAATTTAAATTTTAAAATTTGAACAAATAAGTCATTTTACATTAGGAATTCCAAATGCACGAATCGGATCTGAGCAAATTAGGAATAAAAGTGTCTAATCCTGCCTCAATCATGCTTCAAGTTCAAACTTTGCTAGAATGCAACATTGAACTTCCAAGCCCATACTTATACATGCCTCAAGTCAATGATTTGTCGAGAAATGTTGTTCAGGTAAAAAAAGATTAATTTTATGAAAATTTTTGGTCAATTATAACGGGTAAAATGATCTCAGTTGACTGCACTCTTGACCCTTGGAATGAAAGATAAGAACTTAGGTCTGGAGCCTTTCATCAACTACATGGGACCAGTCACCTTCAGGAAAAATGTAACCAAGGAGAAAATTCCTTTCAAAGCATCGCTGGCAGAGAGAGCTGTTCTTCTCATGGTCCAGAGAAGTAAATGAATTATTTGAAAAAAAAAACAGTTTTATAAATAAAGTATTATTGCACAGAAATTACTAAGAGCGTGATTGAGCGTCTTCCTGGAAGCATCGCTCTGCTATTCATGTGCGCTATTGCAAAGTGCAGAGAAAATCCTCCTCCTGATTGGTCTTTAGAGGCATTCAATCTGGTCGGACGAGAAGATTTGGCCACGCTTTGCTCTGGGGAAGCCATGCAGCCTCCAAGGGAACCACATAAACTGCCCAATGTCCAAAAGGAGAACTCTAGCGAGAACATTGATGATGGAATGGAGGATCTGAACATGGAGGCTCTGAAACTTCGATTTCCAAAAGACCAGAGAGTCGCCTCTGTTCGCCGAATGCTGCAGTCGGCCAAACCTGTCAAAATTTCTATAATTCAACGTCCTGAGGTTTCTGATCACGACTACATAGAAGAGCAAGAAAAGCAACTCTTGTCACTCTGCACTCGAACTTTGGGCCTACCTGTTGGAAGGTTTGCAAAATTTTCCTCAATTTTCAGCCGATTGATCGTCAAGTTTTTTTAGGGGCATGTTCACCTTGGCCTCCGTTGAGCCAGTTGTTCTTGAGCCCCTTCCAGTGCCAAAGCTGTGTCTTACTGGGAAGTCACCCATAAGAGGAACCTCTATTGACCTGTCCCACATTGAAACAGTGGCCAACATGAATTACTGGCCCCTTTTCCACAACGGAGTTGCCGCTGGTTTGAAAGTTAGCCCAAATGCCCCAGGAATTGATTCAACCTGGATTGGCTACAACCGTCAAAAGGCAACTAAAAAAATACTTCAAATTATTTTTTGACATCTTCATTTGTACTGAAAAGCAGGGAAACGCAGACGCTGCAACAGAACATGCTGGATTTCTTATGGCGCTCGGCCTCAATGGACATTTGAAGACGTTGAAAAACTTCAAAATTTACGAGTATTTAAACAAGTGCCATGAAATGACCAGTGTTGGTCTTCTTTTAGGCATTGCTGCCAGCAAAAGAGGTTCGATTATGACACTGAAGCCTATTAGGGATATATTTATTATAAAAATAACTAACTAGGGAGCAGCGACCAAGAAGCATCACAGGCAATCCGAACCGTCTGCTTACACATTGAAGCAATGTTACCTCCAACGTCTCTTGAACTGAATATTGCTCAGAACATTCAGGTGGCTGCTCTACTTGGCCTTGGCCTTCTGTATCAAGGCTCGGCTCATCGACACATTGCTGAAGTCTTATTGTCCGAAATTGGTACCATATTTCTCATTTTTAGTTCAAACAAGTAGCTCGCAAAATTTTAAAGGTCGTCCACCTGGACCCGAAATGGAAAATTGTGTTGATAGGGAGTCGTATTCCTTGGCTGCTGGATTGGCCTTGGGACTGGTGGTGCTCGGCCAAGGCAATGGCCACATGGCAGGGCTCAAAGATTTAGCAATTCCTGACACACTACATCATTACATGGTCGGCGGACATGTAAGACAGCTGCCAGGTATAATTTACTTTTCAAATATATGGTTGAAAAAATAATTCAACTTGAAAATTTTAGTGGCGCAAAGGGAAAAGTACAAAAATCCTAGCTATCAGATAAGAGAAGGTGACTATGTGAATGTTCATGTCACATGTCCAGGAGCGACCCTAGCACTAGGAATGTTATACTTCCGAACTGGGAATGAGTATGATTTTTCAAGAATACCAATGAATGTGGCTAAAAGTTACGTTTAAATTTACAATAGGTCTGTAGCCGGTTGGATGGAAGCTCCCGACACTCAATACCTGCTCGACTTCATCCGGCCAGATTTCCTCCTCTTGCGAGTCCTGGCCAAGGGGCTAATCATGTGGGACAACATTGTCCCAAGCAAGGAGTGGGTTGAAAGTAACGTTCCTGAGAGTATCAGGCCCTACGCTCTTGCCAAGCCTCAGCCTGGCACTGATCCGTCTATTGATCTCGAAACAATGAAGTAAGAGGCATAAAATATTTTTGTAAAAATATAGCTAATTTAAATAAATGAAGCCAAGCGTACTGCAATATTTTGGCCGGCTCGTGTATGGCTATGGGTCTGCGATTTGCTGGATCTGCAAACAACGAGGCGTTTGAAACTCTCTATTACTATGCTCATCACTTCATCTCCCTTCTGAACAAGTCTGTTGCCGAGCTCGCAGGAAAATCAACAGTTGAATCATGCATAAATGTTGTCGTCTTGTCACTTGCAATGGTAATTTCAATGTTAATTAAATTTTATGAAGTTTTTATTTATGATTTTGTATACACAGGTCATGGCTGGAACAGGAGAACTAAGTGTCCTGCGCCTCTGTCGCTTTCTTAGATCTCGAGTTGGGCCAAATCATGCTGTCGTCACTTATGGCTCACACCTGGCCACCCACATGGCTTTGGGGCTGCTGTTCCTGGGTGGAGGACGTTACACTTTGTCTACGTCAGCCCAGTCAGTGGCTGCACTTCTTTGTGCCTTCTTCCCCAAGTTCCCTACCCATTCAAATGACAACAGGTTAAAAAGCCCTAAAGTTTTGTAAAACTTTCACCATTTATTATTTTCAAAGGTATCATCTTCAAGCCTTTCGTCACTTGTACGTTTTGGCAGCAGAGCCAAGACTGTTGCTTCCGAGAGACGTGGACTTGCTTCGGTGCGATTACGCCAGTTTGAGAATTGTTTACTTGGACACACCTTGGTACAAAAATCAGTACGTTGTGCTTAAAGCACCCTGTCTGTTGCCAGAGTTGCATTTAATTAAAGAGGTATTTTTTTAAATTTAGAGTTAAATGAACAAGTATTTAAAATCTTGTTACAGATCCGAGTAGAGGACGAGAGATACTGGCCAATCACTTTCGAAAAAGGTCGCAATTGGAACCAATTAATGTAAGGATAATATTTCAAAACAATTGAATAATTGAATACAATTCATTTTTGTCTGCAGACAACTGCTCAAATTGAAGCACACACTCCCAGTCAAAAAGAAAGCTGGTTGTCTGTCATACAACGAGGATCCCTTAGGCTACAGGACCATGTTTGCCAAATCTCTTACTAGCGAGAAGAGTGTATGCTGGTCAGCAAGGGTAAAATTCATTATATGAAAACTTTGGTCATTAATTACATTTAGAAATTTGCGCGCAGATGGAGTCAATTCAGGCTTTTTCTTCTCAAAATCCATTGGTGGACTTTGCTGAGCTGTTCGTAAATGATGTGCCTGGTGAGAGCATCAAGGAGAAGGAGCTTAAGGACTTGGTCAAAACGTTTGCCTACGAGTGCTGCGTTCATGACAAAACATCAATGCTCCCAATTCTGCTCTCGTTTCTATTTGTAAGAAACTATTGAACGATGCATAAATTTATGACTGAACATATTTTAGGGCACAAGAGACTTGTGTGATGGCCAGCCAAACAGCAGCATCATTTGGCAAATTAAAATGCAGTTGAAGATTGCAGAACTTCTGACCAAGAGTGACTTGCTCTGTCCTCTCATTTCAACAGAGTTGGCGATTTCTATTTACTCGAGAGCAAGGTCTACGTTAGATACAATCGAGAATAGTATGAGAACTAATTATAATTCCTTAAATAAATAATTGTTGCATTTTTCTAGGTTTGAGACCGCACATTGATGAGTATTTGAAATGCCACGAATTGACTACAACTGATGAAAAAAGCCTCCGCAGCCTAACTGCATATTTGTCGTTTTACGACATTCCAATGCCTAAATTATTGAAAAGTAAGCATCAATATTTAATTCCTGTAAAAATTTTAAATTTCCTTAAATTATTCTAGTTGAAGCCCAGTTGATAAACCCTCTGAGTCTAATGCAACATGGATTCCCAGCAGACACGGCTTTGAAATTTGCTAGGTTAAGTTAAAATTGAGCCAACTGTTTGTTAATATCAATAAATTTATTTTTCACAATTTCCCAGTATTTTATCTTCTATAAGTAGGTGCAGGTGTTGCCATAAACCTTCCTCTTCTCTCTGGAGCCATGGGACGTCCTCGCATTTGAGGCCGGGTTACAAGCATTTCCTAATAACAAAATACATATTTTCATGCTTTCTATAAACAAATTTAACAAATGTTTACCTTTGCCGCCCGCATGGTTTGTTTGTTATATCCAGTAGGACCTGTGGGCTGTTGACCTGCACTTTCCAGTGCTAGGAAATCGTCGACGTGCAGAGATGGTGGCCTTGATGTGTTAGGTGGTCTTGACCTGAATGTGTCTCCTCTGGAGGAAGGAACCGAGCGTGGGAAAAGCAGTCTCCCTCGAATTGGTGCAGCTAAATTATATAAATTTCTATCCAAGCCAAAAATTTTCATCTAACGATGTAGACTTACACATTGGTTTTCGCACAGCTCTTTCCCTTGACAAAGAAACGTCACTTTGACTCAAGCGTATGTCGTCTCCACGGTGCATATTGTTCAGTTTTTCTATTTCCTGGGCCAGATTGATGTCAGGCAGGGTTGCAGCAACGATTTCAGCCAAGTCCAAATTTTTAAGGTGTTCTTTTGTCTCTGGTAGTGACGGCAAGTCAAAGACTGTAGGTGGCTTGGACTCTCGTGTCGGCTCCTGAAGAAGGAACTGAGCCGGAAGCTGCTCAGCCACCGGCGTTGGTGGTGTGTCTGAGTCTAGCACTAAGATTGGATATTTTTAAATTTAATAGCATTAGAGACTTTGACATACCTTTCTCTAGGGGTATATCAGAATGTTGGACTTCAGATACCAATTTGTAAAGTTCTTCGATGTCTGTGTTTAATTCGCTCAACTGGCATAATGGATGCTTTTCTTTGTTTTCAGCATCGCACCCAACAATTTTTGATAGAAACGTTGCAGATGATTCAAAATGAGGGTAACATTTTTTTAAAAGTTCAATAGTCCTTGATATTAAATTTTCTTTTTTCTCGTCAATACATGAGCAGAAATTGAACACGGCTGCAAACGGCTCGGATTTTCCTTCCAAGCATCTATTGTAAAAAATGAAATATTAAGAGCTCTGATTCTAACTAAGAAGTAAAACAGTAACATACACTTTGAACCAATGACGGCCAACGTCGGACCCAGAGATCAAATGCAGGATTGACAAAGCTGATAAAATATCCTTTGCATGGCTACTTTTTTGTTCTTGTGCAAGCGTGATGATTAAATCGAGCAGGCAACTTGACACAGATTGAATGATTTCTCTGCTGGGCAAAGCAATCCACTCTGATGAGAAAACTAGTTCCTTTGGTTGGAAAAGATTGTCCAAAAATTTCAAAATCAATTCCAACTCAATGTAACGTTTGTCTAAAAGAAATTATACAATTTGAACGCTTAAATTTTTATTTAAGAACTTTCACTAACCTTCAATATTTTTGTTCAAGACCCAAGTGAGAAGGGTTATGAGTCCGTTTTCTTCAGATCCACCATTTCTCAAAAGATGGAGCATTGCAATTTTAGGGGCACCTCTTGCACTCAGACCAGTCAGCAGACAAAGTCGGCTTTTTGTCGTTTCCGAATTGTAATCCTAAGATGAATTTTTAATAAAAATCAATTCAACTCAAATAATTGAAATTGTTACCAATTTCCTGTCAATCTTGATGCTTCCAACAAGTCCCTCAACTACAGACTGGACCACAATGAGAGCCAAACTTGGACCCAAGTCAGACATTAGTCCACAGATTTCAAACAACTTTGACGCAAGTTTGCGAACTGACGAGACGCTGAAGAGACTGATAATTTCATGGATGGCTGAGGCGAGAGGGTGCAAATGGGCTCCCCACAGTCTGTAGAAACTGATGATCCTCTTCTCGTCCTCAGACCTTATCAGGCGAGTGCCACAAACAGGGAGAGGCCTTGGCAGCAGTTTCGACAGCAAATCAAGGCCAGGGAGGACTGTGTTGGGGCGAAGAGAAATGTGCTTGAAGACTTCGGCTACCATTTGGGTCCATGTGCTCTTGGGCAGCTGCTCTTCTGAACACGGTTGCGTGTAAGCCATCAAGGACTTGACGGTCAGTTGAAGGCTCTCGTTAACACTCTGGTAAAATGGGTTGTCTGGTCTGTATGCATGTAGAAGCTCATAAATGCTCAAAAGTGGGCCCACTGGAGTGAGATTCCTATAAATTATAAGAAAAGAAAAACATTTAAATATTGAAGGGAAATATTTTTCAAAACAAATTATTTCTCACTTGAATTCAGCCCCTTGGCTTGATGCAACCAGAGTCAAAATAGCCCTCAGCAAACTCATGCAAGGCAGAACAAGGTTGACAACGTTCAAGCCTTTGATTCCTGACAAAGTGGCCGCATGCAGTTCTGGGTGTTCGAAGGCCGAAGCTACAGCCGCCAGGATGTTGGATAGTGTCGAAAGTCCATCTTGTGAAAAAAGTTCCAGTAAAAGTTGCCGTTTGTTGGCATTCTCAAATTCAACCAGTGTCTGATCCAAATCCGGTAGGGCCAAGTATTTGAGCACTCGCATAATAGGAATCAACTCTTCAGGATTACTTTTCGCTTTCTCAATGTTGGCACTTAATTCCTGGCACAGGGTTTGTATGTTTGAACAATCGTAGTGTTTGACCCAAAAGGCCAAGTGTGCCAGTTTGTTTTCCTCTGTGAAAATCTGTCTCAATTGATTGCCATACTTGAACAAATACTCGGGGCAATCAACCATCGAGACTGTCGAGTGGATTAAATCGAGGCTGAGATTCCGGGCTGCTGACAAAAGAGGTGTCGACTTGGCAATTTTAAAAAGCGGGTCCGAATAGTTGGACATGGAGAGAACTTTGGCCACATTCAGCCTGCCAACAGGGGTTTCACACAAGATCTGCAAAGCTTTGAACGACTCAATATCATCTTCGGATGTAATTTCCTCCAAATTTGCATTAGAAAGCTCATCCAAAATAGAAATTATCCTCATAGAGTAAGCCATTTTCAGTCCAAGGGGCTGATTCAAAACTGTCAATGTCTTGATCAAGGCTTGAGTAGTTTCGAGTTGCGAGGCCAAAAATCTGAGACCATGCTCTTCACTCAAAAAGTGATCGATTAATTCAAAAACTTGAACATTCACACTTTCTTCCAGCTGTAAATTGGTGAGACAAATCAAAAGGCACTCCAAGAGTTTTGCTGATTTCATCATTGAGTAAGCAGCAGTGTGCGATTCAAAAGTACTTTGAGGAAAACCAAAATGAGCCCCTACAGGAAGGAACCTCTTGAATTGGCCAATTTTCAACTTCATGTCTATGTAAATTTCGTCAACACTCTTCAAAGCAGATGCCAATTGATCTTTCTCTTCATTTTCCAAGTCCGAATTGGCCAAATGTGAACACTTTTGATGAACGAATATCAACGTCTCGTAATAGTTAATTTTCCGGATCAGATTGTTGAGCGCAAATTTGACTCTCGTCACTTTTGAGTTCTGCCACTGCTCCAAGAGGAAACCGACTCCATTCTGTTCGTGGTCGACGTCTGGCCTAAACTGGATAAAGGACTCCATAGCCTGGTTGTTAGAAAGGGCAGCATCAAGGACGCTGAGGGCCAGAAGTTTCAGTGAAAGGGCCATGTACTCTTCCTTGATAAGGTTTGTGACCATGCGGAAGAGGCCAGCTTCAATGAGACTTGGCAGGGTGTTGAACCCACCAGTGCAAAGAGAAAAAGCAAGTCGGAGACCAGCCTTGAGGTGGCGGACTTTGAAGGCTGGCTGAGTTTGTTCCTTGGCTCGGTTTACGTTTAATCCAATCTCCACCCACTCGATTAGTTTTGGTACACAACCTGCAGAGTAAAGTTTCAATCACTTAAGGTAGTTGAGGGATACAAATTGGCTCTTAATTACAAAAGACACTTTAAAATACACATTACAAATACAACTCATATAGTCAATCATAGACTTACTAGGTTTTGAATAAAGAGAGGTGGACACAAGAGGAATTAACTGCTCCAGCATCTCAACCCACGACTCAGAAATTTCTTCCGACTGCCAAGACTCCAGAAGTTCAATAAATTTGCTTGCATCTCCTGAACACGCAAGTTTTGGATTTTTCATGATATTTTCTCCAATTGATAAACTAGGGTCAACAAGATTCTAAAACACATATATTTTTAAATCACTCATTGTCAGTTCTTATTTATAAAGAAATTATTGTTACCTGCAGACGATCAATGGGTTTGGCTGGATCAAATTCAGGAGTTTTCTCAATAGTTATGTCCTTAATATCCTCAAATTCGTAATCTTGGAACTGAAGAATTTCAAAAAGTAATTTTTTTTAGTCTTTTACAAATTTTAATTTTAACCTCTGCATCCTCCATATCCTCATCGCTCAGGATGGGTTCGTACTGCTCAGGGTCCTGGTCAGGCGTGGATAAGGGACTATTCTCAGGATTGGGCTCGTTCGCAGGTGAATTTGCCTCATTGCCGTTGCCCAGGTCATCTTCGAAGTTGTCCCCAATGTCTCCATCCGATGATATTGACTCAACGTCTCCAGGAGACAGAGCTTCGAATGGCGTCGCAACGACACTTTCTTCTGAAACGTTATGGTCAAGAATGTTGCAAGGCGGACTTAAATGTGAAAATCTGCCTGCTTCTCACACCAAGGAGGGTTTGATATGAACAAAGGATAAATATAATGTTTGTGCGACTCCGACATATCTCAATTTATAAATCAATTATCCTCGGCAGTGGTGGATGATTGGCAATAAAAACGAAATGACAAAAAACATACCTTGGATCAAATAAGTTAATAACATGAGCGAAGAGTCGGAAAACGAAACATAGAGTTCACATAGGAGAAGAGTTCGTTTTCTCAATTTCAAAGTAGAAGTGTCTCTTGGAAAGAGTCTTTTCTTAAATATAGTCTGTCAAAGTCTATGCCTGAGCAGGAGGAGCAACAAGAAAGCGAGAATTCTAAAAATGTCTGTCCCGCTGAGGCACAAAGTGCCCGCACTGAAGCGTCTCTTGAGCTTAGAAATACCTTTGGGCTCAACCTCGGGGACGGCAGCCGGCTTATCATTTGACTTAGTCCATTTTTTCTGCTCGTCCATCGGCGGCGTGTGAGGTCTCTTGCGGGGGTTCGACGGGTGCTGCTCCTCCCAGCTGCGTCTTGTGCCGCGGCCGCTCCACTCCTGCCGCTCGTGGTACTCATTTGATCGTCCCTCGCCCCACTCCCAGTTCGTACGGTTCGAGCCGTGCCTCGGTGGAGGGCCTCCTTCGCCGCGTTCCCAGCGCTCGCCGCTCCGCTGATTCTCCCACTGGTCCTTCTCGTAGCCTTCACTGGAGTTCTGATTTAAGGTTCCGAGGTTAGAACAATTTGTTTGCAGGAATTATAAATTTTACCGGAGGTTGTTTCCACTGCTCGTTGAAAGCACCTCCGTACTCCGGCTGAGAATAACCCCTAGTTTCTTGCCCATAGCCTCTTGGGAAATGTTCTTGAGACTCTTTAAATCTAAATGTACATAAAATAAATTAAATATTAGGAAATTAGGAAAAAAAAATGATGTACCGCGGTCCAGGTGTTCCTTCATTAGCGTTCCACTCTGGTCTAGGAGGGGAATGACTTTCTGGTTCAACATTTTGGGCATTAGCTGCGTGAGAAGAAGTACTCGCATTTGAGTTTTCAGTGAGGCCTTTGCTGACGCAGCCGTAAACAGCCAGCGTTATTGTCGTGTACAGTCCTCGTAGGACAAGACCATCAGTCGGAATTTGCTGTCGATACAGATATAATTATTAAATATATAATAATGAGCATTGTAAAACGTACGGTGTTGGATTTTTTCTCAAAGGGCAGCTGTATGTTTCCATTCTGTTTGTAGTCCAGTGAGCCCAGACTCTCAAAAGTTGAGGCGCCGGGTTTGCTCAAATCGTTCACAAAGAATTCTATCGTGAATTGCGACGGATTTGTAGCTCTAGAAATGAGAATTTATGCTTTAGATTAGTTTTATTGTAATATTTTATCGATTCCTCACCCTAGTCGAACGCCCCCTGGAAAGTCGGCTTGAACACGAGCTCCAAGTGGAATGATTCGGACCTCTGATAAAATAACCGGCTTCGGAAACTGAACGAGATCCAAGTTCAGCTCCTGGAAAGTCAGAAGATGAAGAACAATTATAATATTGAATATAAAAATGTGCAAAAACGATGAAATTGGAAATATACGCGTATTAACAGGGAAGACTTTTCAATCAAAGAAAGACGTTAAATTCATTAGAAAAACATCGAATTAACATCAATGCGGAAAAGAAAAGGAACTTTACTTTCGGAAAAATGTGAAATCGGCTTAAAAAATTGCTTACTTCCGACGTTTCGTGCGAAAATGTGTCGAAAAACAAGAGCTGCGTCTCGTCATCCATGTTGGCTGAAATAAAAACAAAAATAAATAAGACTGCTCGCTGCTATTGGTCGTTCAATTCATATCTTTTTCTTGATTGGTTGCCTTGGTTTTTTTTGAAAGGCATAAAGCGCGATTAATAAGAAATGGTCTGAAATTTTTTCGTTCATTAAAATTAGAGGGATTACTTTATGAGCTCCAATAAAAGTGAAGAAAGTATTTTTTTGTCATTAAAAAAATTGTGAAATTAGCAATGCTAATTTTATAAGTTACTACATACTAAAAAAGTATCTAATATGATGCGATATGATGTACATTTTTAATTACATCTATAATACATGTTTTTAAATCCATCAATAAATTTTTAATGCAATGAAGATTTTTTATTCAAAATACATTGCTTTACAGCATACTGAAGTAAAATAAGCTGCAAATAAATAATTTTGTCAAAAGATTTCACTCTTGGATATTGCACTGAATTTGTTTATTTTTTATTAAAATATGAAGTAAAAATTTCATTTTTATAAAAAAAAGAATGTTATTTTAATTTGAAAAAAACGCAAATACTTATGAGTATAATGTATCCATCAAAAGTCATTTATATTTACTGCATAATATCATAATTCATAAAGGAACAGAAATACAGAGAAATGATAAACATTTTAGCTGTTTACAAATTTTTGTTTTGGATTGTTTTCTCCAAACAAAATCTTTATCACTTCAATCAATAGAATTACATTCATTCATTTATTTAAACTCAAATTAATTTGTAAGGGAAATGAGCGCGTCGACGACGTTCCCGTGGTGCTCTCGAAGAGTTCTCTCCGCCAGGATTCTCGAGATCTCCATCTCATGGACCATGAGGTCGACATCCTCCTTCTTAATGGAAACTTTAGCCAGTTCCTTTTCCTTGGCTATTCGTTCGGCATCCTCTTTCCTGCGCATGTTGTCGATGATGGTCATCGCGCCGGCCAGGTCAGAGGCCATAATTTCCTGCTCCTCCGCATAGTCGGTCACCTTTTCCAGGTCGGCTGCTCCACTGTCGTGCTTGGCACTTTTCTTCTGAGACTTTTCCTGCTCCACTTCTTCACCGTAAACTTCTTCGTCTGGCGAACCCTCCATTTTTAGCTGAACGTTTAAAAATTATTACTTAATGAACGTAATAAGAATTTCTTTGGTGATTAATAATGCAAAAATTAATTATCAGATTTAAGTCTCGTGTTCTTGCAGCTTGTGTGCTTTGCTTTTTGTAAACAAAAAACAAATCGGTTTTGCCAACACAAACTTCCGAATACTTTTATCAAGTCAGCTAATGACGTCACTTACTTGTGTGGTACACGTGAAATTTTCCCAATGTTTGGGGGCGTAGCTGGATGGAAACACCGATCAGAAAAGTTGAAATTCCTGCTTTTTGATAGGTTTTTCTCAATTTTCAGCTACCCAGACACAAATTTTTCCTTTCGAATCATAAAAAATGAATGCTCCACCGACATTCGAATCATTCCTTCTCTTTGAAGGAGAAAAAAAGTGAGTTTAATTTTGGTTTTAATCCTTGCATTGCATTTCCAACAGGCTTACTCAGCACAGCACAGAAAATTAAATTTATATTTTTGTTCTAGAATCGTCAAGGAGCAAGACACGAAAGTTCCCAACGCAGCAATCTTCACAATTAACAAAGAAGACCACACTCTCGGAAACTTGATCAGAAAGTATGATTTTTATTATAAATGATCCAAAATTTGTATAAAATTTTCTTTTCTTTACAGCCAACTCTTGAAGGACCCGAACGTGCTCTTTGCCGGCTACAAAGTTCCCCACCCTCTGGAGCACAAATTCATTTTGAGGATCCAAACCACGTCAGACTATACCCCTCAAGATGCTATGATGCACGCTATCACCGACTTACTGGCCGAACTTTCACTTTTTGAAGAGAGATTCAAGGTTGATAATTTAATCATTCATTATCTCATTTATTTATGCTCTAAATTTAGGACGCCATCAAAGAAAGGAAGGAGGGAATTGACTAAAACTTCAAGCAGAATTTGATGTCATGACTTGTGAATTTTTATTTTAAGGTAATAAATGGTACATTTTTTTTGATGAGTTTAAAGAAATCTCATACATTATTTCATTGGGTCTATAATCACACTTAGGCATTGTTACTATTGCAAATAATTAATATTCAGCGTAGTTATGAAAGACATTGGCACCCGTCATCTCTCAGTAGTAATATCATTGGTTACGAGTGATTGAAATTAACAACTAGAATGCGATAAACTCTCCATTATTTGAATTTTTGCTGTAATAAAATAAGACAGTGCTGGGATAATGATTGATCATAGATTATGAACGTTTCAAAATTAACTCCGTCATAGGACTACGACTCTAGAGTAAATTTGTAGCATTGGTGTTCTCGGAGATGGTCTGCAGTTCAGTTACAGCCAATAAATATTTTTGTGACGAACATTCAAATGTAAAAATACATAGCTCCATAATAGCTGCTTGTGTTACAATATCATTATGATAAATTATTACGGCATGAGTGTGGCGATTTAGTATGTCTCGTCATAGTCGCAATCCTCCGTTGAATGTCCAAACACTGAAACATTTATCCATTGTTATTTAAAGGATCTTTAATAATAAAAATTCTTAAGAGACACGAGGAATTTACCAATTCATGTCACTAACTGATTCAACTAAAAATAGCATTACTTGAAGATAAATAGAATGTTCAGAATTAAAAATACCTTCGCATTTGTCACAGTACGGGCGCTCGACTACCTCTTTCTTTTTCCTCTCTTCTCTTGGAGTGGCTGGGGGTGAATCATCTCCCTGTTGCTTAGGGCAGTCTTCGGTTTCGTGCTGGTCGAACATTTCACAAATATCACAATACAAGCGTGGGGCAGGTGCATTGGGTTTAACATTTCTCCTAAGTAATAAAATTCGTTATTAATTTTTGTCTCTGAAATATTTTAAATATCAACCTTTGTAAATCGGCAACGTCTTCAGGGTCAATGCCCATTTCAAGAAACTCCACATGCGCCTTTAATTTATCATTCTTAGCCTTCAGGTCAACAATTACTGAGTTCAGGAAGTTGATCTGGCCTTGAGCAGTTTCTCGTTCTTCTAATGCTTGCTTCGAGGCAGGATCTAATAAGTGACACTTTCGTTATTTTTAAATAAATGTATTTTAGGCTGGCTTTACCTAAATTATTGTTGATATTTGCTTGAGCCTCAACAGTTTGTTGCAAGTTCTTATTTTGGCTTTCGAGCTGCGCCACTCTCAAGTCAAGATTAACCTTGTCTCTCTGCAAGGACTCCAGCTGCTTATTATTTTGACCAGTGGCTGCTGCAGATTTCTTTAAGTTCTCAATCTGAAGGCAATTTTTTTTAGCTTTTCTCTTAGGGAGCTCATTAAAAATTACTTCTTCAAGTTTCTGCTTTAGCTCACTGTCCTTCTTCGCAATTTGCGCCAAAGCCTCATTCAGTTTCTGCTGAACTCCACTTGTTTTCTCCTCTGCATCAACACGCAGCTGCTCCAGGTCACTAATTAAACATTTTTTTTAATTCTGTACAAAATTAAAATTATTGTTACTAACCTTGTGAGCTGCTCTCGTTCTGCAGTTTTTTGGGCGTTGAGGTCTGCTATCTCCTTAGATAATTTTTCAGCGGTCGTTTTGTTCAGACTTTCAACCTCAGATTTTAGTTTCTCACTAGCAGCGAGCTGCTGTTTCAAAGCTGCGACTTCGCTCTCCCTCTGCATTATAAATGTTAGCAAAGTGAGCAGTAAATAACACAATTTAAAAACCTGTGATTTTTCTTTTCCCAGAGCATCCACTTGAGCAGAAACATTTCCGATCTCCTCTTTCAGCGAGGAAATTAATTTTTCCTTTTCTGCACTTGCACTTTCAGAAGATGAGCCAAGTCGGGCGATAGTTTCCTGCAATAAAATTAGTGCTGATATTTTTACCAGATTTAAATATTTATTGGTCATACCTTTGCTTCCTGAATTTCTTTCTGGAGCTTTGTGACTGTTTCTTGAGATTTCCTTTCCAGTGCTTCTTTCTCAGTTTTCAGCTCGGCCAACTGCTTCTCGTAACTCTGCGACTTGGTCTCAAGTGCACTCTTCAGATTAGTTTCCTGAATGGATATAAATTTTTTCCTAACAAAGCAGTTAAAACAATTTATAATTTATTACTGTCACTGAAAGCTGCTCCGATTTTTGCATTAAGTTTTGCTCAAATTGCTGCCGCGATGATACGGTTTCTTGCAACTGAACATTGAGTGCCACAATCTTTTCATTCAGAGCCGAGGAATCGTCAGACAACTGCTTATTCTTCAACTCCAACTCTTTGAGGTGCTCCTCCAACTTCTGATTTGCAGACTTGGCCAAGGCATCATTTTCTGCTACAGCTGCCAATTTACCCTCCAAAATTTTGCTTCCCTTTTCTGCTTCTTCCAGTTTTTCCGCCAACTCTTTGCTTGCACGCTCACCCTGTGCAGTCTTCTCCTCCAAAGTTTTGATATGTTCCTGAATTAAAGTTTTTTTTATATTTTATAGTAAAATTCTGAAATTATTCCTTACCTCTAATTGAGCTTTTTGCGATTGCACTTCTGACAGAGATTTTTGTGCTTCTGCTAAGTTTTTGCCCAAATCACTCTGACTGGCTTTCAGATTTTCCTGGAGCTGCGATATTTGACTTTTCATGTTCTCAGCGTCTTCATTTTTAGCCTTCAGGTCATGCTGCAGAATTTCTTTGTCACTCTTCAGGCTCGTTATTTGTCTTTCCGTTTCCAAAATTTTTTGTTTCAGCTTCTGCTCAGTTTCCTCAGAATTCTTCTTCAGCTCTTTGCTCTTAGTTTTCAGAGCCTCGTTCTCAGCATTCAAGGCACCAATCTTCTCTTGAGCGGATGACAAATCTTTTTCCAGTTTCTGGACACATTCAACTTTTGAGCTTTCAACTTCTGTGAGCTTTTTGTTCAGCTCCATCAACTCTGCATTCAGTTTGTTTTTAGCTTCTTTGGCGGAGTTTGCTTCTTCTTCCAATTTTTTATTGCTGCCTGATAGTTCCATTTCCAATTTTTGAACTTTTACAGTGTGCTCGGCCAACTCGTGCTCCTTCTGCTGCTCATATGAAGTTATTGTCTGGTCCAACTTTTGCTGCACCATGGCTGCGTCCTGCTCGGCCTGGGCTAGTTTTTTGCGCAACTCATCCCGCTCCTTTTCACGCTCTCGCAGATCAGAGTTAAGTTTTGACAGTTGAGCAGATGAGTCGCTTGAACTGTTCATTAAATTGGCAATGTCCGATTCCTTTTAAAAACACTAAAATAAAAGAATGAAATTATATTAAATTTGATATATTTACCAATTTTTGCTTCTGCTCGGTCAATTGGTTGCCATGATCCTCCGCAAATTGGAGTTTCCTCTGAACATCACCCAATTCTAATTGAATATCTTGCAATGATTTTCCTTGCTTTGCTGATAACTCCTCCTGCTCCTTAAGTTTTTCCTGAGCATCTAACAATAAAATTACAGTAAATTAGAAAAAAAATGTCTTTAAATTTCATAAAATAAATTTACCTTTCAGTTCAGCTTGGAGTTTCGTGGTCTCGCCCTTTTGTTTTTCAAGTTCCCCATTCAACAAGGCCAACTCGCTATTCCTTGTTTTCAGTTCCGAAGTCGCCTCATTAAAGTTCTTCTTAGCCTCCAGAAGTGCCGCTTTTAATTTTTCAGACTCGCCTGTGAGCTCTTCAAATTCTTTGTTTCTCTTTTGCAATGAGGTGGTTGTGGTTTCCAGTTGTGCAGTGATTTCTTCTGCATTCTTTGATAAACTCGTAACTTGAGAATTCAGTTGAATAGCAGAATTTTCTTGTTCCTTCAGAGATTTGCTCATTTCTTCCAGCTGCGATTTTAAGCAAATCACCTCCTTTTCTCGGTCACTGAGAAGGGCTTTGATAGACGTGACCTGGGTGCCAGTGTCTTGGGCGCCTAACTGAGCCAACTCGAGTTCTTTTTTCATTTGTGCAAGTTCATTTTCACGCTGAGTTACAGTTTTATTTGCATCCTCTAATTTATGCAAGGCACTCTTCAATTCTGTTTGAGATTTTTCCACTTCTCCCGCTTTTAGTTCACTTTCACCCTTGGACTTTTCGACATCTTTCAAAGCAGCTTCTAAATTATCTTTCAACTTCTTGCTGAGCTCCGTTTCTTCATTAATCTGTGAAGTCAGCTCTGCAATTTTTGTGTCCCTTTCTTTGAGTGCTGCGTTTTGATCCTCGACCAGTTTTTTTTCCTTGTTTATGCTATCGTCATTCAACCTCAGTTTTTCATCTGCTTGGTTGATTTGGCCCAAGAGACCTTCCACCTCACTTTGGAGCTGCTTGACTTGAGTCTCTGTATCGGCGATTTTCTTCTGCGCCTCTGCAATTTGGGTATCTTTGTCTTCCGTCTGTTTGGCAAAGAGCGATTCTTTTGTTTCGAGCAACATCTTTAATGAGTCGAGTTCCATCTGCAGCGTGTCCTTCTCAATTTGCTTGTCATGCTCCTCGGAAAACTTCTGGTCGGACAGTTTTGTCACTTGGACCTGAGTTTTTGCCAGCTCAGATCGGAGGAGGTCAAGTTCCTCCTTGGCAAGGGCCAGTTGTTCCTCTGCCTCAAAACACCGGTTCGAATCTTTTTCTAAACGTTCGGCCCGTTCTCTCTCTTCTGCAAGTTGCTGCTCAAGTTGGGACACTCGTCCCTGCTGAATTTTTTCACTAGCCTTCAAGAAATATAAACATAGAAAAACGTTAGAAAATTTTATTTTGTAACATGTCTAACACCAAAAATAACAAAATCACAATGCAAATCAACAATTAACCAAAACCATATTTTAATATTTTCTTCTATTTAGGGTTTGGGGGAATTGAAAGCTCAGTAAATATTATTATTACTAAATTATTGTATTAAGCCATTCTAACTACTTTTCAACCAAATATTTTTGTAAAAGCATATTAGTACAGTTAGATTTGATGTCTATGCTACTTTTGGGGCAGTTGAAAAAAAAATATTAAATTTGAATAAAAACCAACACCAAAAGCTAGATCATTAGATTAGTGATTGTTAGCGATCAATATGGCTGCAAAAAATACTCACTTCCTGGTCGTGTTTGACTTTCTGAAATTTGAAAAATGGAAATTTGTGTGTTAATGCAAATTCTAAAAAGCAAATTGTGCACCTTTCCAGTTTCACAAAACATAACCCATTTTAAATGAAGCTAAAAATTATGGAAAAGCGCGATACTTGAAAGCAAATAAATATTAAATGTGAACATCGATGAACTATGAATAATTTGTGATTTGAAAAAAAAATTATAACTGATTTATTTTGGTTTCGTAGAAATGTTCAATACCTCAATATCAGCTCGGTTGATGCTCTCCTCAGCAAATCTGAATTGAGCTTCTTCCAGTTGCGAAAGAAGTTCCTCCTTTTCGCTTTTGAGCTTCTCCAGCGCTTGTTGCAATTCTTTGGCATCATTAGCAGCCTTTGTTTGGTGCTGCAGATTTTAAAGTAAATTAATTTCAATGGGTAAAAATAAAAACAAGAGACCTTTTCCAGTTCCTGTAGCAGCGTTTTGTGCTTGTGCTCCGCCTCGTCTGCTTGATTTGCCGCTCTCGTGACCTCGGCGCGCTCCAAGTCTCTCTCCTTTAATAGCTGCTCAATATATTTGTCTTTGGCTTTGACTTGCTCCTGTGAAGTGAAGTAATTGCAGTTTAGATAAAGTAAGTGTAAGCTTAGGTGAAGCGCTAATCTACCAATGCTGCTGTTTTTTTAATCTCAAGTAACAAGAAATTGCACTTAACGACAAATCAGAGCTATATTTCAAAACTGGATTTAAGTTTTAAATAACATATTTCGCGATGAAATAATTGTCGATCAATAAAATTTATTGCATGAACAAGGTTGGAAAAGCATGCAAATAATACAGCATGGTAAACTACATTTTTCAAGTAAGATCTTCAACAAAGCGTAATAATCGATGGCTTATTTAACAATCAAATATAAATTCTAATTTAAAATTTTGAGTAACATATTATAACTGCAAATTTAATAGCCAAATTATACGCATTGACCTCATCAAAATATCACTTTTCTTGAAACTTAAATCAGTACCTTATTAACATAATTTTTTTTCAACAATTGAATGAAAACAATTTGTTGTAACAATGTGTACAAATAAAAAAACAACCATAGTGAATCTTAATTAACGGATTTATCATAAACTTTTTATTATTTGTATATTACACTAAAAAACAAAGCCTTTTTTTACAGTTTTTTCTACAGGAAGCGAAAATAAAGCAACAGCAAATTTCGTTTTTCTTTATGCATATTTATATTCTTTATTTACCTCCGACTCTCAATTTCTATTCAATTTTTCATACCAAGGGGACAAAGAAACTTGTACGCAGTATCAATATATTTCCAGTTCTTTATTCACCAACATTACAATAAAATAGATTACACAACATAATTTAATAACATTTAAAAATAGAATGCATAAATAAAATATACCTTTTGTTTACAGTATTAGTTTGTACAAAACAGGCTACCTTCGCATATTACAAAAAATATGGAATAGTTAATAGGCTGATTAGGCAATAATAAAGTAGAGTTAATGCATAGTGCAAAAGTTATTAAAAACATGTGAATATTTAATTAAAAAAACAGCAGCATTGGAATGATTTTGTTGAGGATTTTTAGCATACCTGGAGGGAACTCAGAGACGTCATTCCTGGACGAGCCATTGAAGTTGGTTTCTGAAAATTATCATTGGTACGATAAATTTTGAATGAAAAGAAAATCATCTATTAGTAAAAAGGGGTAGTTAGAATCAAACTCAAAACAGCCAAAACTGTTAAAAAGATTGAGAGGACAGCACATTAAATAGAATGCTATTAAAATCATTGAAAGTTAAAGTGCAATTCAAATACATCAGGATTGAAAACATCAAAAACAAAATTTTCATGTATATAAAAATAAAATTTTAATAAAAATAACGCCATGCTCTTTGTTAATGAAGTATTCCTCATGGTACGAGTACTGCACTTATCTTTTTAAAGTTTTTCTCTCTTTGTAATTTTCCTTTTTTCAGTAAACATATTTTTGGCCTGATTCGAATGTGCAGCTACTCATACCTTTACAGTGCCCAGAGATGTGATTCCGAGCTTTACCCTGGTCGAGGGGGTCATCGAGACTCTGGAGGAGGCGACGCTGGACGTGAGGCTTTCGCGCGAGTTTTGTCTACGCATTGTGGCTGCCACCTGGGACGAGGTCGAGCCTCGGTGGACCATGCAGTTGGCGGCGGAAAGACGTCTGCTCGACGGGGACAGTGAGATTTTGTGCAGAGGGGCAAACAGACCGTGCTTCGGACGGCACTCAAAATATCTAAAGAAAATTTGACAATTTTTGAATCTGGAATATTTTTGGTTAAAACAGTGTCGACCTTTTGCCTCCGACGGCTCCGTCATTTTTGCCAAGGGGCTCGTCCAGTTCGACTCCGGCCCACTCGCCGGTGGCGAATTCCGTGGTGCCCATGAATTTCAGGTGTCCCAGCTTGGATCCTTGTTGCGATTTGACAATGACTCGGTCGCCGATTTGGAAGTTGACGTTGGAAACATTGGAAATCATGCTGCCATCTGTATGGATGCGATTAGTTTGGAGGTTAATTTGAGGACGGGGAGTCATTAAACGCGGACTACGACTACAGCTCAGACTTAAAAATTGATTTTGTTTCTGAAGAAATACGGATGTGTTTCAAAATTAGAAGTTCAAAAGGTGAAGAAGTCCTTTAAAAAAAGAAACTTTTGAAGCCTTAATTTCTTAATTTTAGTCAATGGAGTCGAGTTGTATTTAAAAACTCATCCCCCCCCCCCCCCCGAATTGATAGAAGTAAATAAAAATTAAGGGTATTTTCATTTATTTCATGAACTGATATGTAACACTGAACGGGATTTTAAAGAAGACTGACTGTTTTTTTAAACAAAATTTGTACTAAATAAATATTTTTAGACATTTAACAGTTTTATAGTGATAAAAAACTATGGAAAATAAAAGTTAATTATAAAGGCTGAAATTGGCTCCCAAATTTTGAAATGTATTAAAGAGCCCATTAATCTAATAGTCTTCATTTACTTAATTTTTAGTCTTGCATTATTTCAATCAGAATAAAATCCATCAACATAATTAATTTGGGAGCAAATTAAAATACATCAATGAGACTTCTTTTCCCAGTCCATTATAATAAAACCTTTTTTTACAAGAAATTTTTTGCATTTTAAAATTTGAATCAATTTTTGAGTCTGAGGATTTATTTGAATTGAATTATTAATTATTGAGATTAGGGCCTCCACGGCATACCAAGGGAGGGGGTGGGCGATCGACGGATGCTGCTTGTGGGCGAAATGGCCGAGGTGCGGCGGTAGGCAGGGGTGGCGTCAACCCTTTGGGCGCCGTCGAGCGGCTCTCTGGTCAGCCTGGTGAGGCGCGAAAAGACTCCTCGCTTAGCCTCGCACTGGAAGTAGCGAATTCCACCCACGGAACCGTCATTTTTGCCTGCGGATTGACCTCATCTCTTAAAACTCTCTGCCAACTTTTTGCTCCGCTCGATATGTACCTGAGGGGTCGTCGAGCACCACGCCGGCCCACTCTCCGGGGGCGAACTGCGTTTCTCCGATAAAGGCGATCTGGCCAGGTTTGGTGCCACCCACCCACACGCGGTTGCCGATGATGAAGCTGTCAGTGTCTTCGGTCAGCACCACACTCGCATCTGCGGAAATGCACAATAGCACGCATTTTGGCAAGGTTGTCATAATAAAGGCGAGCTTTTTTGAATCAAAATATTATTATTTGAAGTGGCATTGGTTGTGATATTGGACTTGATTTGACGGAATGAACAAAACAATTTTCAGAACCTCTAAGAATTGTTACAGTTTTTCTTACAATTAGTTTTAAAGAAATCAAGTTATTGCGTAACTAAAATAAATACTTAAATTTTTAATTTTATAAAGAAATTAATCAAAATATTTATGAATTAAAATTGAAATTCTTAAAAATTACAAACTGAAAAGAATTATAAAAGCAAAATAAAATTCTATAAATTAATCAACTTATTTGCATTATTTAATCCTGACTTCCTTGAATAATAATGAAAGTTTAGGATTTTTCCTGCTCAAAGTTTTAGGGTAATTTGGGAATTTTTTCTGGGTGGGTTCATTATTAAATTTATTTCAAATTTTGTGTCGTTGTAACAAGGACCTAGTTAACATTCCGCGGTGAGTAATAAATTGTAAACAAAAGGTAGAAGCGTTGGGTGTTTAGCCAAATAAGGCGCGCCGGGCCGCACGTAATTATATAATTTTCGTTCAAACAAACACGCGCGGCTCATGTTTGCTGTGTGATAAAAGTACGCAGCGGATTCCTAACAAGGGCACGAGAGATCTCTCGAGAGAAGTGCACTCCACTTTCATTCACTCCCTGAGGTGTGAAAAACAATAATAATATTTCCGCAGTGACGCACCTCTCGAGAGTGGGGTCAACAAATTCTTTCCCATGCAAAAATAAAAAACTGAATTTAAAAAAAAAAAAAAAAAAAAAAATGGTGAAAACAGAAATTGTGCACACGTGCAAGAGTTCTAAAATCTATTCAAGAGACATGCTAATTTCCCAAAACTAGGTGCTTGCTATTTGGAAAATTATTGAAATCACAACAAATTCTGGGGCAAACATGAAAAAAATTACCTGAAGTCCTCCTTACTCCGGCTTCGCTGAGGCGCCTTGCGTTTTCCCAAGATTCGATGCTGCCGTCTGTTTTTCCACACAAACAAACAGAGAAAAACTAAAGAGAGTGATCTACCAACATGCCACATGCAATAAAATTCGTGGAAAACAAACGTGAAAACCTATTCTAAAATCAACATAAATAAGTATTTTTTGAAATCGATTCTTTTTGTGTAAAGTGCAAGTTATGGTTTGATGAAATATGAAGCAGCGGAATCTCTGTTCTGTTTTTCTGCTTACTGGAGGATCTGCGGCGGCCAAAGATATCATCGCTACCGCGGCGCCCGTGCATCATCAAGTCGGCGTAATTGTGCGAAATGCAGTCGTCCTCATGACCCTCAGCCACGTCTAAAGAAATCACGCAGGACAGCACCATTACAAACGAGACAGCCAGAAAAAAAACTTTCAAGCCAACACCAAAAACGAATGCATTTGTTAGCAGAGGCAGATATAATTCTGAATAGACGCTAATGAGTAGATAATTGGTGGTTGTTTATTTTCAAATTTGGCAGCTGTCCATCAAATTTTGGATGGAAATTTATTTGTGTAACTTTTTTTAAATAAATCACTCCAGAAATCTGCTTCTGCAAAAGCTTAAGGCGGATCGCACAGAACAAAGAAAATCACGATGAGTCACTGAAAGTGCGCTCAAGGCGTGATTTACCATTTCATTTTAGGCGAATAAGCAGAAAAGCGACCAGTCATGCACCGCGCCCATAACCGCGCGTCTATTATTGGAAAAGCTGCACTCACGTTTTTTTTATGTAATTGAATTATTATTTTAATCTGATGATATCTCAATGTGCTTTCAAGTTCGTGATTATTATGTGCAACTCGCAAGATTTCAATCTGGAATCGCCCACGGAACTTGCTTTTCTCAGGTTTCATTCATAATAGACGCGAGCATTAATAAACATTAGTTGCTTTGTACCTACCTGTTGGCAAGTTGGTTAATCGCATTATTGTCGTGGGTTATTCGAGAACTGAAAAGTCGGGTGCGGGATTAGCAGGGGACAGCAGGATGAATTATTGTTATTAGAGTTTTACGAGCGGTGTCAATTATTTAATTCATTAATTGGCTTTATCTTTATACGAATGGCTGTAATTTTATTGCAGTCTCCCGTCGTGTTCAACGGCAGCTAGAGTTATTTTGCCTCAACCTACATAATTTGCTTAGTGAGAGAGGCATACATTTACTACAATAGATTTTACAATTTTAATTCTAAACTCAAATTAAATGAAAATATTAAGCAACACAAAAAATTTCATTAATTTTTTTTGAAAATTCAATTAAAAAAAATATTTTTATGATTTGAAATTATTCCTTTTAATTTAAGTTGAAAATAAAAATATATAAATAAAATGAAATAAAGTAAAATATAATATATAAATTAATATATTAAAAAATGTCATTAATTGCTTTTTTAAGCAGTTTTAAAATGTTTATAATCTAAGGCCATTTGGCCGAGAGTAATTTCACGGTTCTTCGCCTCGAATGAAAATCTCGAAACGTATCAATTAAGATAAAGCCTTAATTAGTGGATTAATTACGTTATTTCCACGCTCATTAGTATGTTTCTGGTGCCACTGTGATTGTGAGAAGCAAGGTCAGGGCCACCTTCCATCTTTACCTGCGAGCCTCATTTTCGAGGTGGGGTCCTCAGGTCTGCCAAAGGTCACGTCACTTGCGGTCACTGCAACACATGCATCGCGGGCGAGCAAGAACGCAATAAATAACAAGCGTGCGCAGGTGCATAAATAGGTAAACACAGAAAAAAGAAACACGGCAAAAGCGAGTGGTGCAGAGAAGAAGGCGACAAGCAAGAAGTGGGTGATGAAGAGAAAAAGTTGCAATAATAATTATATGAGCGATGCAAGTGAATGGGTTGGATCAAAATAAGGGGTTCCGCTATCTATAAATCCTAGCTCGGAAGGTCGAGTGGAAGAAATTTCGCAACGGCGCATTTTATGAATCCGGTTTTTGTCTCTCGGTTAATTATTTTTCGCCACGAGTGGGCGACCGAGGAAAATTGAAAATGTGAGACGGACGCTTCTGGATTGAATTTCCTTTTTTAATTATACACGAGCATGGCGGACATTTTTAATTTTCTGTAATGAGAAGTGGCGATAAATCTCTCTCGGCTCGGAAAAGAGCAAAGAGTTTGTTGGGCGGTCACGATTGCTGTGAAATCACGAAAACGGTACGACAGATTCTTTACGACAAAGTAAATCACAAAAGGGAAGCCGAAAGGGACAAGTCCCACGCGAAATGTAACGCTAACTTTTATGAACTACAAGCTACTTTTATTGTTCGATTTTTATTCTCTTCGGAGCCGAAAGGGCTTTTGGTATCTCAAGAGCCATAAAGTGCCTGGATTAGATATGAGAAGAGATTCGTCGTAGAAATCGCAGTTTTTCTTGAGTTTTACGATGTGACGCTGTAAAACAATTTTGATAACAGAGGAAAGGATAACATTTTGGCAAAGATTTGGTTGTCTAAATTTAGAAGCCAAGAAAAGTGGTTTGTGCATTGATAGAATTTATAAAATGATGTTTAAACCCGTCGGAATTGGTCAAATATCGCAGATTTGTTAAATATTAAATATAATAAGGCCCTTTGAAATTGTTTGTTTTCCAACCAAGTGCAAATTGTTCCACTTTAATTTAATAAACAGAACAAGATTCACTCTGATTTATTTAATGTATTGGAGTATTTGGAAAGTTGGTGAAAAAATAAGTTTTTTAATCAGGCAAAACAAAGTTTGCAATTCATTGTACAAATTAATGCCAAGCTTGTAAGAAAAAACTATTTTTCATTCCTTTTAAATAGTTTTAATTTATATCGTGAAGATTTGTAACATCTAGAATAAATTATTTAAAATACCTTATAATTTATGTTATGTTAAATTTTATTTGTTTCTAGAAATATTTTTTAAGATTTAAACCCAAAAAACCGAGTAAACAAAACTGGTCAATTTTCGTCAAGTTTAACCTTCCTGCCCAATAATGACTTTTCCATAAAAGCCGAGCTTTCGCAATTGTTGAAATCTTCGCAGTCAATATATTTATTCTAACAGATCTTTGGGGCCACGATTATCATGTCGCGCGCAGCCAGGAACCGCGCCAAATGAAAAAACAACACACTTTTCAAAAGCATAAGCGGGTCAGTGCGAGGCGATAAATCTGCCAGTGGGCCGTCGTAAAATGCACCGACAAATGGGAATAATTGCGGAGGCGTCGAAAAACAAAAAGGCTCACGCATCGCCAAGGTGTTAAGGAAAATTCGGTTGGAATAAAAGTGCGTGTGTCGTTTCAAAGGTGGGGTCGCGCGCGCGAGTCAGGCTGACGCAGTTATTTTTCAAATGTGTCGCCCACGTGCCGAGATGGGCAAAAAACTTCTTTCCGATTGCGCTGGATCAGGTGTTGTTGCTCTTTCAACATGCGACGGCCAAGGTCCGCAATGTCAAGTGCACCTCGACCGAAATTTTAAAGGGCCTCAAAATTGTGCGTGGGAATTTTAAATTTATTTCTCTATCATCTCATGAGCTCAATAAATAGAGATGATGAAAAAATTAACAAAAAAGGAAGGCAACCAAAAAATTATTTAAATTAAAGGAATTTTTGCATTATCCATTAATTGAGATTTAAATAAATCTTTAAATAAAGATTTTTTATATTTAATGAAATTTGATTAAAAAATAATGAGATTTTTTACAATTTATTGTAGTTGTATCAAAATGTCTGGAGATAAAATGAAATAAAAATTGAAACACGCGGAGAAATATGTATATTTTGATTTTATCGCCTGATGAAATTGTCAAGTAGTGTTTTGTATTCTCATTTTTGAATACAAGATCTCGATTCAGAATTTAATGTGCTGGAGAACATGTTTCGATTCTCAACTACAAGAAGAGCATCAAGAGCAGGGAGGAGTCTTTTTTCCTCGCTTCTGGGGATCTTTAATTATATCAAAAGAAGCTGCGTTCAATCTCACTGTATTTTTCGCGCCGCCCACACGCATTTTGCCGCGGGTATTTATTTCCGACACATTTTTTATTTGCAGTAATGACGCAGACAAGATTATCATCTTGGGCGAAAATTTGTCTCGTTATAAACCGAAATCGGAACGTAAATTAAATTTATTTATGTACCTATGTGCATATGTTTGAACATCAGACGGATTTGAAAAATTGCTTATTGACGTTACGTTGGGCGAATTAACGATTTCACGGCTCACTTTTGCAGAACGCACGATCGCGTGGTGGTTGGATCAAATTATACAGAGCATCCATCAATTTTCGCCAACGTTTGTGTTCGAAAGCGCTGCGTGATACTGCATTTGCTTAAATTTGCATAAGGATTTGAATGGCGAAGAATTTTGGGCGGATGTTATAGATTTTGAACAATGAGGAGGAATTCTTTCAAATTATCAAGCAACAAAATCTTAAAGCTAAAATTGACAGTGAAAAGGAAATAGATCAAAATAATTTCAAAATTTATTATATTGTTTTTTTATTGTTAAAATGTTGACATTTCAAAAAAAAATTAACAATAAGTTTTGAAAAATATATAACAAAATAATCTAAATTAAATTTAAATTTAGTAAATTTTTAATTAATATTATTGTTTTTGTTTCGTGGCCTCATCTAGACAATTTCAGCTCTATAATTAATGCAAGTCTCACGCTTAATTCTATCAGCGATTTCAAGGCACCACACAGAACGTCTTGAATCATTCATTGAGCTCACACAAGCTGTAGCAGTTCATACAGATGAGGAATGTGCACAAACACAAAGGAAACCTTTTTCAGATGCGCATTCCAGCTTCGAACGCAACAAGAATTGCCTTTATAAATCCTGGTAATGGTTGCAAAACATTTTATGAGTTGTGCAACGCCTGGCTAATGAGAAAACGTCTTCTCTTTGTCGCTGCGATTTTCCCGTGAGAGACAGAGAAGGTCAATTTGCTTTTTTAAGAGAGAAATTAGCATAAAATCCGGCAGGAAATCGCAGAAAAGAAACGTACTTAAATGGAAACAATAAAAAAAAGAAACTCTTCGCTACCGACGAGCAAAATTGGGTTGTTGCCACGGATTTACGGCTCTGTCACTCCGGTGTAAAACAAAAAGGACGTGTACGTACGATTAAAAAAAGAGAGACACGCCTGAAGGAAGGCAAATACGTGTCAGCTTTTTGACACTTAAACTGCGACGTAGGAATGAGTGAACTGCCTGCAATAAACTGCCTCCTAAGTAGCAAAAGGACGAAGAACTCATTTTCCACTTAACTTCAAGAGAGGATTAACGAATCATCGTCATCATTATTAGCTTATAATTAAATTGAGAGTTCGTGCAAATTTATAAATATCTCAAATCATTTGTGTATCCTCAAGGAAAAAAACAGGAAAATTAAATTATAAGTTCATGTATATAATTTTGAACATAAATTTCAATCAGAAATTGTGTCATGAAAGAGCATAATAATGGTAATTTCAGTCCGAGAGAGATCACGATTGAAGGAAAGGGCAGTGATTTGCATTTGTGTAATGGGCGTTTAATGTGAAAAGTTGCGGAGATTGTGGCAGTTAATTTAGCAGTCCACTTTGGACTGACGATTTGTAGCGAGATGTTTCAGCATAATTGTGCGCTAGGCGTGAGCTGACTGAGATCTTCTTTTTTGCATAATAAACTTGTTTCCTTCACGGAAAAGAAGAGCTACCTGCTTGTAAAACGCAGAGGAGTTGTGGGAATCCTGCGAAAGCTTTAATTATGAAATGATCGTAAATCAATCCACAAGAGAAGTGCGAATTTTATGGAAAATCGTCACCTAATTAAATTCCAAGACACGCCCATTAATATTATCTCTCTCAGCCGATCTCGTTCCTATTTGCGAAAAGGTCAACGTTTTCAAAAATTTGCATGGCGCCGAGTTATGCAAATCGCGGTACAATATGCGTCGGGCGTGAAAACTGTCGAGTCACCGCCGGCAAGTCGCGATCATAAAATTAATCCGAAATTTATTTATGAAAATTGCGAACCGCAACAAGTGGCGCAATTCGGTCCAAGCTTTCTTTAATTAATTCAGCTCCGTCGACCGCACAGCTCCCCGTGTTTTTCTAAGCGAAATCCGAGACTAAAACCTAATTTGCATGGACATGATAAATCAAGCTGGGCTGGCGCCGAGGAAACCTCACAAGAGGCTATCGAATTCGCGACATGCAATTGAGATTTTGCTCTCCCGCGGCTGATTAACGGAAGTCGCGGGAAAATTATGTCGAAAATCGGCGTGGGATTCGTTCTACTATTCGCAAGCATATTTCTTTACAGCGGCCTACATTCAAATTTTGAACCAATATAAATGATAATATTGATTTGTGGGTGTGCGAGGTAATTTATTGTGTTGATTTTTGAGTGCGGATTACTATCAGCCTGACAGCCAAGGTGACTACCGTCGGCCCACTGCACATCAATTTGTCAAAATTCGCTTTGTTTGTGTGACGCTTTTGTTGTAAATGGTCCCATTTTTTACATCAGGGACCAAAGATACAATTTTTAAATTTCATAGCAGTTTGTCAATTTAAGATTTAGTTTTTTTTGTGAGAAATAATCATTAATGCATTTTCTTTTTAAATCTGATCTGAATTAAATTCTAAGAAATTAATCTATTATTTTAAGGAGTAAAATTATGAGAAACTT